GGGTTCAGAGCTCAGAGGCAGGCGCAACCATGAAAGCAGGAGATTGTGTAGAACCCGCAGAGGTCTTGGCAAGGATTTTAGGCGTACTCAAAGCATGGAACAGACCTTAGTCTTTTTTATCTAGCTCTCCAGAGATAAGAAAACCACAGCTAAAACAGGAGTGCTGTTGTATGAATACACAGGACATGTTTATCTTTTTCTGAATTTTGCGCAACTGGTACATGGAAGTATTTTTAAAAATTGTGAAGTCTCTGTGAGTCATACCCTCAAAGGTAGCAAGTTCCCTGATAATAACTAAGAAAATGCAAGTGAAATAGAAACAAATGAGATCCTCATTTTAACCAGTCTATAGGTGTGTTATCAAATATTTTTTAAAAGGGATGAGTAAAAAAGTTAACATAAATCATCAAAGAAATGGCTTTAATAGCAAAAAATTTTCAGTTAAAACAATGAGATTTTATTTTTACTTTATAGTTCTGGAAAGTACTGTATTTTTTGGAGGGCAGTTTGGCATATGGGAGTGGAGATCCTTCTAAAACAGTGTGGTTGTAAATGTACAGTCAGGAAGCCAATGGCCCAGTGGGGAATGGGCAGGGTGAACACCTTTGCACGGGCTGAGGGGTCCGATTTGCCTAAAGAGAGGACTTTGGCTTTTATTCTACACACTTCTGTATTGTTTAATGTTCCATGCCACAGATGCATTGTTTTTGGTAATAATAATGAGAAGAGGCCAGTTTAGAAACGGCAAAGAGTAGCTTTGTAACAAACACCTCAACAGCGGAGTGTTCCCCTTGCTGTTAGGTATGAACACCTGTTGTTGAGGCTCTCACTCATGTTTGAAAATTCCTTAAAAACAACCCTGTACAGTTGATCATAATGTGGTGAGTCAAGATGTGAAATCTAAGGTTTAAAATACTCCTCCTGTAGGCAAGGTGCATCCAAAAAAATAATGAGATGCCCTTTCCTTAGAGCACATAGGTGCCCAGGTTACTGCAGACCGAGGGAGGAGAGCCCACGGAGTGGTTAGGCGCCCTTACCTCGGCGCTGGTGCACGGACGTCGGAGCCCCTTCCAGCAGGAGCAGTTACCGGCTGGGCTGTCGGCGGCGGTGTTTCAAAGCTAGTCACGGTGCTAGAGCGCTCGCAGTGTACCCGCTTCTGTGGGGTCTTTGCCGTCCTGGGCGCCCAGAGCAGAGCAGTGAAAGCTTCACTAGGAAAGGCTATTCAGACTTTCCCATTCTGTCATGTTTCATCCAGTCTAGTCGGCGTTGGGAGAAGCTCCGTTCTAGGCGTGTCTGGGTCGCAGAGTCTCTAGTCAAGAGCCCTGTGATGCCCTTGGAGGTGGTCCCATCTGCCACACTTGGCGGAGGCTCACGGTCACTTCTGTCACTGCGAGTCTGGTTTCTGAGTGGAGAACTCTTGACTTTGGTGATCTGCTTGCTTTAAAGGGACAGAAATGAAATGTAGATGTTGTGTGTATACACACACCTTACAATAATACACATTTATGTTTGCTAGTAGAATATCTTTTTTATGTAAATATGTCTTCATACTTAACAAGTGGAAATTGGCTGATTTATCTGACATCCTATGAGACTTTTTGTCCTCGGAGGGTAGCTGGTACTCCTTAATCTGGATATACAGTGAACCCATGGGCTTTTTTAGTGTCTTTACAGAAAGCCCTTGTCAGTGGACTGTGCTCTGTGCCGCTGTGTGAGTCCCTGCAGTGTCGTGCCGCTCTGAGGGAGCATGAGATAAGCGGCCACACCCTCGGTCCCGTCCTTACAAGTCCACAGAGACGAAGAAAGCTGAGGAAAGGACGTCCAGACAGGACAGAGAAATGTGGCCGTGGCTGTAAGGGTATGGGGAGGGCAGCCTTTTTATTTTTAAGATGAGAGAGCATTTTTGTTTGAAAATGGGGCTAACCTGTGAGCTGAGGAAAGGGCCGGTGCTGCAGAGCATGAGGCCTGCCCAGGAGCAGAGTCCCGGGGGGCACGGGGACAGAGTCTTCTGCTCTAGTTGGTCCTTTCTGGAGCCAGTGGCTCCTCCCGGTACCACAGGGGAAGGGCGGGCATGCCAGCTCCGCAGTGTGACGGGAGTATATGGACTGGCTGTTCTGGGCACCTCTGTTCTTAAGTGAAACAAAGTGAAATGGGTGGTTGGGGTGCTGAAGTCTGGGGAGAGGAAAAGGTGTTGAGGAGAGGTGGTCTGGGAGCACCCTTGGAAATCCGGGAGGTGATTGCAGGAGAGGCTTTGGAGAAGCTCCGGGACTGTCAAATTGTGGAGCAACAAGAGGCGGTGTTGTAGCAGAGGCTGGGGGAGGCACAGGGCCAGGTGGGGTGAGAACGCAGGGGAGACGGTCTCAAGGAGACAGGATGTAGCTGAGATGGCGTGCTCGACCAGGGAAGGGTGATGTGCCTACGGAGAGTGCACATCCCGGGTGTGCAGGACGGTTCTTTCCATGTCGTGCACTGACTCAGATCAGAGAGAGCACCTTGCCAGCACCTGGGGCCTCTTCCACCACCCCAGCTGCTATCGTTGTGGATTAGATCCCCGTTTTATTTTTGAACTTGATATAAATGGGATCAAACCAAGTACTCGGTATTTTCTTCATGAGACGAATCCACTGGTTCTGTGTAGTAATTGTTCTCATTACGGTGTTGTATTCCACCGTGTCAGTGTCCTTCGATTTGTGCATCTATGATTGATGGACATCAGAGTTTCTTTTGTGACATTCTTACAAGTGCTTTAGTGATGTGTGTTTTTGGTTGCTGTGCATCTGGAGTGGGACTTCCTCTTCTGTTCTTCCAGGTCGCCTGGAGCCCCTCCCTTCACTGCTAGCCTCTGAGTCTTCTCTCCTGCCTCATGCAAGTGGACACAGTGTGCTGAGCTCTCCCCTGTCAAGCCCAGGCTCCCAGCCTGCCTCCTCCATGCCTCGCACACCCCTAACCTCCTCCCCAAAGCCGTTGTCCTTGCCCCTGTCTTTCAGCAGCCCCATGCCCTGCCCTGTGCTCTGGCTCCGCATCCGTTCCCTGCCTGTCTTCTGACCCTGTCCTCTCTTCTACCTCATCCGTTCCTTCCTCACTGCTTCTTTGTGCCCAGGGGCACTTGGACGTGACTTCATAGAGCCCATCTTTAAAAGCCCCGTGGGCTGCATCTCCCTGGCACAGCCACTCTGCCTCCTGCCACGTCTCTTCGTTCCTGCTCCCCTGCCCACAGTGACCTCGGCTCAGGACCTCTCCCTCTCACCTGCCCTCCTGGCTGCGAACATCCTGAGCAGACCCTGAATGGTATCTTCTCCTCCTGACTTCGGAGTTCCTGATTTTGAACAGTAGGCGCTGACTTCTGTCAGGGTAACTAATTTTGCTTTTTTACTAACTGCACCTTCCACCTGTACATACCCCTCTGTGCAAAAAAAAAGGAGTTGAGAGAATTTGTATAATTCTGTACAATTCTGTATAAATTTGTATACTTTTTTAGTAGAATTTGTATAATTCTATACAAGTAGAATTTGTAATTCTATGACAAATCTTGGCTATGTCAGTATTACATTGACTGTAAATATTTTTCTTTACTGAACTAAAGTCTAGGCTTTCTTTTTCATTACAAGCTTTCATTTCACCTAGTCCTCATGATTGCCTGATCTTTACACATGCTTAGTTCTTGTGTCCATGATGCTATTTTTTAAACACTCTTTAGCAGATCTGTGGGACACTAGCGTGACCGTCCCAAACACAGCAGGCGGCCCCGGCCCTTCTTCCCCCAGACGACCGCTCCTGGTGCGTCTCCTGCGCTGGGGCCGCTGCTCTGTCTTGGGCCTTTCTTTCCTGTTGTCGGGATGTCGCGGACTCGTCTTCCTTTCCTTTGACTTTTAGCTGCCAGATTGCATCTTCAGAGGTTTTCTGAGAAGAGAGTTTTGTTGTTTCTCTGTTTGCAAGTTTGAAAACATCTCACTCATCCCCCAAACCTGAGTGGAAATCTGGCTAGGTATAGAATTACACGTTGGAAACTATTTTTTCTCAGAATTTTGAGGATGTTTAGTATTCCATCCACCGTTTTCCTTCCTTCATCCCTTCTGATGCCATCTGATTCTTTTGTATGGGACCTGTTTGCTTTCTCCGGGGAATTTTAGAATCTCCCTTTGGTGCTCCTGGGGGCTACTTGAGCCCCATCAGCCTGGGAGCACATGTGCTTCTGCTCCGGGAGACGCTTGTCTTACGCCGTGGATGGGTTTTGCCCTTCCTTTTCTCTGCTGTCTTCCTGAACCTTGTTAATTGGCTGACAGGATGACAGGACACCTAACCTGGTCCTCCGACTGTCTCTCTTTCCTGTCATCTATCTCTGTCTCTTTGCTCTGCTCTACCCTTTGAAGAGGCCTTGAGTTTTAAATCATTACTATTACATTTGAATTTCAGAGATCACTTGTTTTTCTTTTCTCAGCACATGCCACTTGTTTTTTATGGACTCTGGTTGGTGTCATGGTATCTTACCCCCTTTCCTGCCTCGGGCTGCCACCCTGGGCCAGCTGGTGACAGTGCCTCAGCACTCGCCTCTCCGTCAGACACGCTGACAGGAGTGCTGCCTCACAGGCTGCTGTGACACGCACTCGCTTCACGCAGGGGTCGAGTGGGATTAGAGTAGCACCGGCACCTCGCAGGCACTCAGCCAGCATGGGTAGCAGAACTCCTGTTGACAGCGTTGGCTACCTGAGCAAGCTGGTCGCTCTTCTTTGATATTTTGTTGCTTGGTCTCTTTCCTCTGAGTCATTTTGTTTCAGCGTTTTTCTCGCCCATCTGCAGATCCTGAGCCATCGGTTCCTGTTTAAGATGGAGCCGCTCTGAAGCCCATAGGCAGTTCTGTGAGCAGGTGGGCTTTTCTGCTGGAGGTGTCCCTGTGGGTGGTCAATTCCCAAGTGTTTGAATCTTGAGGCCTTTTCCCCTGGGCTTCACCGTTTGGGAGAGGAACCCCCAGGATGGTGAGAACGAGTCACTCCTGGAGGCCAGCATTTGGGAGGAGGACGTGGACACACCTGTGTGCTCCACAGCTTGGGGGCCCTGTGCTTCCTCAGAGTTACTGGATTTCCATGCCCAGCACCCTGTTCAGAACCTGGCCAGCGCCCCCAGCACGTGGAGACCCGGGTCCCTGTGCATGCTCAGCTTGCCACCACGCAGTCCCCGCTCCTCTTACCCCTGGCCAGTATCGGTGTTTGTCCGGGCCTGTTCACACTTGCCTTTTTTGTTTTCTTTTGGTACTTTTGGTGGGGGTGGAAGGGAGGTCAAGCACAAGCCTACGCCCACCCTGGCCTGGAAGTCTGAGATGGACTCTTAGAGGCTGCATAGAGGTCTTGACTGCGACCTAAGCAAACACTTAGCCAGCAAGCTCTGCATCGGTCAGTTGGCTCCCTGGCAGCAGAGCCCCCCAGGCGCGGCTGTGCATGTGTCCCAAGGAGCCTTGCTTGCTGTGTGGAGAGCCAGCGCCCGGAGGCTCCCTGGCCACTCCCACAGGAGCAGAGGCAGAGGCGCGTCACCGTGCAGCGCGAAGTGATTCTGAGCGGTGGCTCGTGCCGTGGCCAGTGCTGTGTTCAAGCGCTCGGCGTCAGCCTAGTTGTGTGACGTACTATCCATCAGATTAAATTCTTATTGACAATTTAAATTTTACTGGTTTTGTCATTTTGTTAGAACTTAGTTTGTGTATTTTTTCTATTTTAGAGCTCTTCTAAACTCTGTAGAGGATATTTCTGATTTTAGGTTCATACATATTTGCATACCTTAATAAAAATAATTTCTCACCACTGGCAGTCATGGGACTTGTTCTTTTAAAAGATTCAGTCCATTTTAATTAAGTTCAAAAATCACTGACAGAGCTAAATATCATTAATTATATAACATTCTACAACCCCTGAGTATAAATGACATAGATTTAGTCCCTTTTAGTCCATTGCAGAATATTTTAGTTTAATTTAAATAAAGTGGGTTATTCTGAGTGACTTAATTTAAAAAGTGACACTTCTAACAAGAAACCTAATCCTTTCCCCAAGTTTAACTGAAGATTTAAAAGTAAGGAGAGAGAGAAAGAAATCCAGGCCTTATAACTTAGCATGTATTTAAGGTAAGTAAGCAGTGCCAGTGAGGAAGGACCTGTTTTGCAGAAAGCCATAGATTAACAGTTACTTGATTCCTATTTGTACATACCTTTAATGGTATTATATTAAGGTCACTTTGGGGGGAGTTTTTAAAGAAGTTTCAACTTTGGGGTCAGTTTCTTATTAGTGGGTAGATTGTTTATAATAGCCATTTAGCAGTGTTCGTCTTTGAACACTCCTGACATCAGTGGGACCATGGCCGTGGCATGTGCAGAGTGGTTGTTCTCACTTGTCGATAGGACGTGCCCTTTGAGTTGGTCCCTGAGCAGCAGGAGTGGGTTTGTGTGATCCAGCCCTTCCTGCAAGTAGCCGGAGATGCCGTTTTTCAGGGGCAGCTGACTAGGGCTAAGAGTCCAGTTGTGGCCACGGGACAAGCTACTGCCGGTCCCTGGAGGGGCAGAGCTAGGCCTCTGTCCTTGTCCAGTCAGCAGTCAGTGCCCCCAAGCTAGAGAAAACCTCTCTTCCTCAAGAGTCCATCACGGGACCTTTCTGTTGATGCAGTGGTCAGTGTTGTGAATCCAGGCCTCAGCCTCTAATCAAAGTACCGGACGCAGGACACAAAGGCTTTTCCAGCCCTTGTTTGGTTTTTCGCCCCCTGTGAGCCAGTGTCCAAGTCCTTTGGGTTGATAGTGTTGGAAATCTCAGGGGTCTGACCAGCAGTGTCTCCCTCGGTCATGATGTCATCATTATCACTGGCAGTGACTTTATCCAGACAGTGTAGTGGAAGTTGCCTGTCTATACAGAAGCCGACAGGAAGTTAATAGGTGTACCCTATAAAATTAGGTGACCGTCTTTCTTCTTGGATCGATTTTTTTCCTTTCTTCTTTCATTTCGAAAAATTAATTTTCAAAATTTCTACCCTATATCTTTATATTAAGACAGTCCTGGTCTGCCAAGGACCCAGCATTAGATCAGTTGAGCAAAACCCATAAATCGATGTGTGCTCATGGGCTCTGGGCACCAGAACCGAGAAGCATCTGCTTGGTAATTAGAAGTTTCCTGGGAAAACTTTGCTTTATCCAGGGAGAGAGTTTTGGTTTGTCTTTCTTTGATCCTTCTTATTGATTTTTGATACTCATTGTGAGCCCTCAAAGTCATAATCTGTATTTTGTTGACAGCTGACATCATCTCAACTGTTGAATTTAATCACTCTGGTGATCTTCTTGCAACGGGAGACAAGGGCGGCAGAGTTGTTATTTTTCAGCGGGAACAAGAGGTCAGTAATTTACAATCCACAAACCAAATGGAATCATTAGGCCCCTCTCACATCACTTTGAAGGAAGGAGGCACAATTATTTTCTCAGTGTCTGATTTCATTTAGATTCAGTTATATCACATTAATTACAAAGAATTTTCTTTCAAAACTTAGCTCAAGTGGGCGAGCTCTGTGCTGCAGTGCACTGCCGATCCCGTTAGGCCCCAGCACCCTCACCTTGGGGGTCGAGTCCTTGCGCCACCCGCAGGTTGTGAGGGGACCAAAAGAAAGATGGGTGGGGGCCTTGTGGGTTTGCTTCTGTCCTTCCTGTAAATTGAAGTGCTGTCTGTGGAAATCACTTCACAAGCCTGAGGAGGTGCTGGCCTCTGCCCTGGCCGCACATGCCCCGGCCCTGGGCAGCCCGGGCCCCGCCCTCTCCCTTCCCATCAGAGGTGAGCAGCCCCGCCTCCTCCAGCCCCTCGCTGGGAGGAAGGAGCCCTCTGAACTCGGCCTTGGAGGGGCCTCTGGGTGGGTCCCACTCAGGAGCACCGGTTCTCGGGCCACCCCCTTTCTGGAGCTGACGGGAGAGAAACGCCCTCGCAGGAGCTGAGCCTAAAGAGTGGGAGGGAAACAGAGCGGGGCCTTGCCCCCCACCCCCATCTGTCTCTGGGGAGCCCCTCAGCTCTTCGCGCACGCTGATGAAGGGTGCGGTGAGGCTCTGCTGATGCAGATGCGCCAGGCGAGCGCCGCATGCGGCTGGGCCTGGGGCCTCCCCGGACTCTCTGTCCCCCTGTTTCCTGGTAGGGTCAAACGGGGCCCCGCCCTTCCTTTTCTGTTTCCTGGCAGATCAGTGGGAAGTTACATTTTTATCTCCAAATCGTAGTCTCTAAATTTTTGTGCTAAAACTTGGGTATAGAGGCCATCCATTAGACCCTGTGTGAAGCAATGAGTAGGCCCTGCCACCAGAGGTGGGGCACGAGGGGCATCGGTAGGAGGCGAGCCCTGCGCCCTGATAGAAGGGGAGGGTCGCTCGGGTGAAGGGAAGAGGTTTATAGGGTGCCCCCATCTGTCATTAAAGTATACCTGGTGCAGCTCTAATTTTAAGTATGTCCATGTAAATTAACATTTTGAAATACCTGTTTTCTCTTGATTTGGGATGGTGAGAAGTCTTTTGTGAATATTGTGAGTATTGTCATTAATGTCCTAAATCCTCAGTTTGCTAAATTCGGGATTCTGCGTTCCAGTCCCAGAGGCAGATTGTCGCAGTGCCGCCCAAACAGAACCATGTGCTGGACCCTTTTCAACACAGGTGGTGTTTGAGTGGCACTATCAGCAGAAGGATTGTTTGACAGTTTGCTTAGTCACAAGCATCTTAAGTTTAAGAAGTTCATTTTACCTCCTTTCAATAATGTCCTTATAGAAAAGGAAATTTTTCTTATTTTTGTGGGTCATTGTTTATACCTAAAAAAGACTAGCTTCAACTGTTAACTGAATTGTAATAAAATCATAGCATCTTGTTATGAAGTGTGTTGGGTATTTTACTGTTTTGAGAACCTGTCACCTTATGTGTTCGGTTGAGATGTGCTCAGCCTTTGTCGTGGGAAGCAACAAGCTTGCACGATGGCAGGTCCCTAAAGTGGCCGAATCGATGAACCTGACCAGCCGCCACTTAGTAAGTACTGGGTGACTTTTCTTTCCATCATCATCTTCTTATTTTGGTTAATATAAGAAGAGCTTTCATATTCCATCTGCTTTTAAGATACTTCAGTGTTTGCTTTGTATAATCCTCCCTGGACTGGCATCCTTCCAGTGAGAATGAAGTGTCAGCTTGCTGTGTGGTCACCCACAAGCAGGGACCCAGGCAGTGGTGCCGCAGCAGGAGCCACTGTGGTGGAGCCGGCCCACTCTCAGAGGCCGCAGGAGGCTTCAGGGGCGCCCGTATGTGCATTTCGGAGCCCATAAAGCGTAGAGGATTGCTGAAGGGTAAAGCTGTGCCCTGCCAGTCAGGGAAGGTGCAGGATGCAGGGAGCCCTGGAAGGTCTGCCCAGGCAGGAGGCAGGAGGCGCAGTTAGCACGGGGACTGTGCCGCCTTGTTCCTCCTCAGCAGCAGAGGCCTCTCTCCAGGGCGCTCATTTATCTGCAGGGCGCCGTGCCCTGGGACTCCAGCCCCTGTGCAGAGCCCTGTTTATGTAGTTGGTCTGCGTGCCTGCAAGCAGAAGCTCTCCACCTTCCCCCTCTCTGATCATGCTCCGGGGCTCGGGCTGTCCACTGTCCTGCTGGGAATCTAGTCGCCAAAGCCCCGGTGTCCTGGCAAGTTTGCCTCAGAGTCCTGTCCTGTCACCTTGCCTGTCCTCGCCTCTCCCTGGACGGGGCATGAAGATCGGTTGCTGCTTAGGGCCCCTCCAAGGCCGGCCTGGCTCCCTTGGTGTTGGACAAGAGGGGCTTAGTGGTGGACTTGTTTGGGGTGGTGGCAGAAAGGCAGGTGGTGCAGCCCCAGGAGGGTCTGCCCCATCCTTGGGGAGGACACCAGAGTCCCAGGAAGGGTAGGCAGCTCTCAGACATGGGCGTCTCGCTCCCCTCACGCCCTGCTCTCTCCTTGGTGTGTAACATTTGAAGGCACGGAGCCAGCTCCACACACACTTCTTTCAAATAGTTCAGCTTCATTTTGTTCATTTGTGAGTTAAAAGTATCTGTTGGTGTGTTACCCTTTTTCGTAGAGAGGGTAGGGTGGTGTGGAAGGAGACCAGTGCAAACAGCATTGACCACGACACACAACACACTTGGGAAATCCCATAGCGGATTTCCAGGTCCTGCTGGTGGCTTCATATTCCTTCATAAAAGAAGAGAAGGCCGGGTACTGGGGGACGGGGCGGAGCCCCCCATCTTACCTGCCCACTACTACCAGGTTTCGAGTTGTCCTCCTTCCTTCCCAGGGTTGGTTTTCATTTTGTAAGTGGCATTTATTTTCCCAGGCATGTTTTCCTGTTTTCATGACAGTGTATAGAATTAGTCTTGTGTGTGTTAAAAATTTGCATGAGAGGCAGTTTACTATGGGAGATACCCGTGCCTCCCCCATGCGGTGTCTTTGCTCCTGTGGGTTCGTTCATAGTAGTGGCTGTGTGGTGTTGATGGCATGACACTGCTGTTCAGCAGCCTGCCTCCTGGGTCTGCCCAGGCGTGGTGGCATTGGCCGGCTGTCACAGTGACTGCAGTGCCCAGCCCTCGGACCCACTCCTGGAGGGCCTGGGCCAACCCACAGCCTCCCCACAAGGCCGAGTTGCCGGTATTTCCACATCTCCGGGCCCTGTGGTCTCTCAGAGCCCCTCCCCTCTGCCTGCGCAGTACAGAAGCAGCCCGCCAGGCCAAGGGCCAGGGCACCCATGCAGGCGTGGCTCATGCTGTGCGCGGCAGGCGGACCCGGCAGTCCCTGCTCTGGGGTGGATGCGTAGGAGGACAGAAGGGCTGAAAAGTCATCTTTTTTCTTTTTTCAAGTAAATTAATTCTGAGTGTCATCTATTTGACTTTCTTTTAACTTAAAAATGCATGTGGTCTTGTGATAATAAATTCTTCTCTGCACTGTGCTTTGTTCATTGAAACAGCTTCATGTTTCCTTGCAGAATAAAAGCCGCCCTCATTCTAGGGGAGAATATAATGTTTACAGTACCTTTCAAAGTCATGAACCAGAGTTTGACTATTTGAAAAGTCTAGAAATTGAAGAAAAAATTAATAAAATTAGGTGGTTACCACAACAGAATGCTGCTCATTTTCTACTCTCTACAAATGGTAAGAGCTTTTTTTTTAAGTGGCTGTATTTACTTTAGGATTTGGATTTTAATTTTCTGTGTGTGGGTTCCTTTGTATTTTAACCCTTTCTACAAGTTGTTTATGCCTCAAACATTGGAGGGAGGGTAAGCTGTTAGCTAGGTAGCAGGTGATAGGTTAAAAACTTGGAGTACGCACACACCCAAACCTCCCAATATTACATCACTTAACTCTGCATACGTTTCTGCATCTTACTGTAGGAAATAAAGAGTTCATCCATAATTATAATTGGAAATAGTAATGTTCAAAGACCTCTAGCTTGTAAACATAGAAGAACAGAGTTTTCTAATACAACACTCAACTAATAGTCGCACATGATGAAGTTTTTCTTTTAATATGGAGCATGGGGTTTTTATTTCCAGATAAAACGATTAAGTTATGGAAAATAAGTGAACGGGATAAAAGAGCAGAAGGCTATAACCTGAAAGACGAAGATGGACGGCTTCGGGACCCGTTCAGAATTACAGCACTGCGGGTACGCGGTAGTTCACTCACACTATCCGATGCTGTGCGAAAATTGATCAGGAACGATGCCAAAGTCAGCAGTTCAGAGAATGGCGTTACCTGATATGTTGTGAGGTCTGCCCTCTTCATTCATGAAGGTTATTTGTAAAAACAGTCATCATTTTTATGTATATGTGTTAAAAATTCCTCATGTTTTCACAAAAGTAAAAAGTCACACATTATCTTCAGAAAATATAGTAGTCCTAAAGAAAAGACTCAGATTTAATTCCACAACAGAAATCTTTTTAAATGTTATCAACTGTCTTTCACTCTGAAGGTTCAGAATCGCATATCAGTAGGGCAGAAGTCCAGCTGAAACTCAGAATTGGCCCCTAGAGTTGCAGTAGCCTAGGTCTCCAGTTGAAAGGGATTCAGTGGGTCCCCAAGGTGCATTTGCAGTTTTCCATTGAATTTCCTGAGCTAGCTAAGGCCAGTCTCCGTGTTTGGGATTCTCTGCCTACCAGTCCATGAACATCATTACTTCTAATTTTTTTTTTTTAAGGTGTCGATACACAATCTTATGAAGGTTTCACATGAGCAGTCACTGTCCATCAGCATAGTAGGATACTATAGAGTCACTACTTGTCTTCTCTGTGCTACACTGTCTTCCCCGTGCCCCCCCTGCATTATGTGCGCTCATCATAATGCCCCTTAATCCCCTTCTCCCTCCCTCCCCACTCCCTCCACTTTCGTGACCACTAGTCCCTTCTTGGAATCTGTAAGTTCATCACTTCTTTTCTTAATTAGTAAATTCTTCAGTCCCTCTGGTGTGCCTTAGTACAAGATGAAATGACCAGATTGATACCTGGATTTTTTCACATTTTAGCATTTATGAAATAAAGTGACCCTTAAAATCTTAGTGTCTTATAATTGGCCTGTAGGTGTACCCCATCAGTGGGATGTGGTAAGGGAGGTTACACAAACTTAAACCAAGCTGAGACACAGCCCGGTAGGGGGCACCAGGCAGTGCTGTGGAGGCCCGAGAAGCAGGGGCCACGCTCAGGATAGCTCAGCACCCCCTGGACAGCTCCCTAGTACAACTGAAAACTAACCTGGTTTGCTTTTTAACTGGGTTTAAAACTTGTTAAAATGCTGCCTACCAGGTGAAGATCTGGTTAGTGAGCCATGGCCAGGTAGCAGCGAGGTGCTACAGAGAAGGCCAATACGGCAGTGTCCCTGCCCCCCAGACACTGGTCTGCTTTCATGCTGTTCCTTCAGTGGTCCTGTGCGAGGCGCAGGTCAGGTGCCAGCAGGAGTGGGGAGGGGGCATGCAGGACACAGCCGCAGCCCGTCCGTGGAGGCAAGGCTCCAGCAGTTAGGAGAGCAGTGGCATGCAGTTGGGCAAGGGGCGACCACGGCATCCTGTGGCCTCTTAGGTTATCAGTGCCACCATGTTTCCAGGGGTATGAGGCTGAGAATGCTGTGTAGTTGCTCAAACCTAATTTATAGACCCTCATCCGAACCAAGGTGTCTGGTCCAGATGCTGCCACTTTGCGCCCAGCAGTTGCTGATAGCTACTAAGTAACCACTGCTAGAGGCAGGAACTCTGGCTTTACAGCCACCAGCTCAGGAGCTTCTCATTTTAAACTGTAGGTGGTCGTGGATGGGGCGGGGCCTTGCGGGGCAGGCTGGGCACTTATGCCGCCATCCCTTCCTCCACTCCCGCACAGGACGCAGTCTTCCTTGACCAACCCACCTTCATCACACATGGTGCTCAGAAGCCTGTTTAGAAAACCTATAGGTCTTATTAGGCCCAGTCTTGGGTTTTTTTACAGCTGCTTTTATATGTTTGACCTAAACAAAACTGGCCCAATTGGTGGCTGAAGTGAAGCGTGTGAACAGTGCCCTTACATTAGCTGCCCTGCTAGCCAGGCTGGGATAAGAGCTCCCAGGTGGGCCACTCTGCCCTGGACTCTCCTTGTGAGTTCAGGTCCAGATTTGAGCTCTCAGTAACCTCTCTTAAAGGTTGGAATGGACTATTAATTTGTCTAAACTTAACTGGGTATAAGTCAGAAATGGTGCTCTTTTTAAATTTTGGTTTCCTCTTAAATTGGTTTAGTACCATAAAGGGATTTAATTAGAAGAAGGTGTGTTTGTTTTACAAGTATTACGGCTATTTGGGTGTTGTGACTAATTAGGAACTTGTCGCAGGGCCTTGCAGCCCAGCCCAGTCCTACACCTCGTAGAACTGGCCCTTCCCTCTCCAGAGAATGCAGTGTGTGCTTAGCACTTGACTGGGGCAAAATAAGGGAAGTATTTTCCCCTCGTTCATTTTTACGGAACTTTGGCTGGGAAAGACTTAAGTGGAGAGAGATTCTTTAGCCTTTCCAGGCGTCCCCTTTGGTTTTTACAAAAAGAATACTATTATTAATTTTTGGTTTTGATTTGAAAGCTGCTTGCTTTCTGCCAGATGCCAGTGACGCTGGGCCTTCCTTCCTTCCTCTCACTTGTGGACATGTCCTCAGACTGTGCCCTGCCTCTGGCTTCCATGTGTGTGAGGGCCAGGCCCTTCCTCCCGCCCCGGCTAACTCCTTGATGCTGTTTCCACCAGTGTAGATGTCCTGACCCCAGGGAGCCGTCCCTGACCACGCAGAAATGGGGTTTTTGTGCCCCCTTTTTTTTAGTCTTTTATTGAAGTATACATACCAAGAAGTGCCTCTGCCTCATAAGTGAACAGCCCCGTGAGTGTCCCCAGGCTGGGCACGCCCATGTCGCCAGCACCAGATCAAGATTTTTAGTCTTTTATTGAAGTATACATACCAAGAAGTGCCTCTGCCTCATAAGTGAACAGCCCCGTGAGTGTCCCCAGGCTGGGCACGCCCATGTCGCCAGCACCAGATCAAGAAATGGCATCTCCCAGCTCCCCAGGGCCCCTTCTGAGCCCTCCATCCCTTCCCCCTCCAGGAGAGGCAGGCGCCAGTTTAGGGGAAGTAGGAGGCCCGTAGCCAGTCCCACCGTGAAGACTGCTGCCAGGGAACTGGTGCAGTGACGTTGACAGATGGAGTGAAGCCGCACCCATGGGCAGCGGTGCCCTGGAGGCAGTTTGTTAACTGCTAGTTTAATCTCTTCAAGGAGAAAGCATCAGCCCCCATGACAGCTGCGGGGCGGGATGGCGGGATGGCGGGATGGCTGGGAGCTGGGGGAGCCACGTGAGGCCCCATGAGGCCTCTGCAAGGCTCCGTGCTCGGCTGCTTGGGTATCACCTGCACAGAGCTGTTACTTGGCTGTGGTATAGTTCGTTCCTTTTTGTTACCTACTGTAAATAATTCTGTGTGCTGTGGTCGTTGTTTTGACTTCCTATTTCCTTCCATTTTTAGGTCCCAGTATTGAAGCCCATGGACCTTATGGTAGAAGCAAGTCCACGACGAATTTTTGCAAATGCTCACACATATCATATAAATTCCATTTCAGTGAATAGTGATCATGAAACATACCTTTCTGCAGATGACCTGAGAATTAATCTGTGGCATTTAGAAATCACAGATAGAAGTTTTAGTATCCTTCGTCAGATGGAGATCTCGGCATTTTTTGTAGGATTGTTCCTCAGATATAACCCGCAAGTGCATTTATGCTCCTGCACCTCAGTCTTGGTTTGCTACACAGCAGCCGGTGGTATAAGTTCTCTATGATCTAAATCCTTTGTTCCTAAAACTAGAGACTTCTTTCTGTCTTTGGAGAAAAAAGTCTGTCTTTTCTGTTCTCTATAAATGGGAAAGACCTCAAGTCCGTTGCCTCCGTGGTTGAATCGGAGGCCATTTTAAGTAGTGTGTATTTGAAAGTTCAACATTGCCTGTTTTTTTTTGGTTCTTCCTAAATTTGATATAGATAATAGAAGAGAAAATAGTGACTTTCGTTAGGACGTTTTATTACCCAGCCTGAGAAGTGACGGATCATGTAAGATTTCTGTTTTAGGGGATGAGCTATTTTTCAGAAATAGTAAAAAAATTCATCTCTCTTGAATGATAAAATGGCACTCTTGTTTTCAAGATGAATATCTAAATCTTTCTGGCTAATCATTTGTTTACAAGTCACTGGTTTCTAGCAGATGAGAGCCCAGTGATGCATATGCACCCAGCGGCTTCAGGCAGAGGCCCCGCCAACTCGCAATTCGCAAATTCGGGAGCTGTGGCCGCAGGCCCTGGCGCTGAGGCTCAGCAGGGTGGGGCCCACACTCACCACCCCCATAAGGCATGGAATCTCGGGGAGTGGGGTGTGCACGGCTTCTTCAATCCCGGCATTTTACACTCCTTTCTCAGCACTTGGTCTTCACCTCATGTGCTTATCAGCCTGGCTTCTCACGTGTGAAAAAGTGGGCAGCAGTGCTCATGCCCGAGTGGCACTGGCGGGGGCACACCTGCCTTGGCAGCCCACCGGGTGGGTGCCTCTGCACACAGCGGCTCTGTGGGACCGACGGCCAGTGCCCACCCTGTTCCTCTTGCTTTGACTTGGCAAAACTTCCCAAATTACAAGGTCATATCCTTGGCCCCTGTTTTCTCTTGTTCTCCTTAAGCCCTTATGTGTTTAGTCATTCTTCCTTCTGGGAACACATGACCCTTTTGAGCAAAATTCAAATTTCAAAGAAGGAAGATTCTCTGCTTGGAGGCCTACCCTTTGGAAACAAGCAGTTATCTGCGGGTGGTTTGAGGCAGACCTGTCCAAGCCTTTTTAAAACGTGGGCTCACGCCCTTCCCAGTGACAGTGAAGTTGCCAGCGCTAGGGAGCGTCAGGAGGCCCGAGTGCAGCCTGGTGACCTTGGCATCAAGTCACTCGGTCTCCGAGCCTTTCTCTTTCCCTCAGATGGAGGCCCTGAAATGTGCCTCCTGGACCGTGTGACAGCTCACACAGGTGGTGAGTGCAGAGCTCGGCACCCCACCTGCCGGACAGCAGCAGGCCCTGCGGGAGCCTTACCTTAGTCTGTCAGGGCCACTCTCCCCCGTCTGTGCGAATACAGATTTAGAGCTGCAGAAGTCACTTACACGCCCCTTATTACATGTGCCCCTCCCCGGAGCGGTAGGTCCCTCTCGGCTCCTCACGGCGAGCCCCGGCCACACGGAGGGCTGTGCTCCTGCACCCTGGCACCCTCGGGCTTGGCCCCCGGGACTCCCGCCGGATCAGAGCTGTGCAGCACAGGTCTTCGTGCAGACTGAGAGATGGGGCGTCCCTTGTGTCTGTGCACCCTCGTTCTCAGCAGACCGTTGGCTTTTTTAAAAAGTAACTAATTCTGTGAAGTCAAAGTAAGACAGTTCTTGGTTTCTTTCGTTACTGCCGAGTTGGACTTCTATTAATTTAACATCCACTTCTGTGTGATCTGTTAATTATACTTTTCCTCCTGTTGGAAGCTCAGTTTTCTCCTGAATGATTTCTGACAACTTCATACATAAAGGGCTCAGGTAGTCCTATCTTTCACTGCTTTTTAAACTTTTGTCACCTGATGATGCTTCAGACGGCCTTCCTGTGCCTGAGGTTGTAAGGCATACACACTTCTATACTTGTACTTGTATCTGTTAACACTTCCAAAATGCCCGTGACCGGCTCCCATGAGAGACACGGGGCTGTGCTTCCCCTGCGTGTGCGGCCACCTGCCTGTCCCCTCCGCCCGCCCTGCCGGCCGTCCCCCAGCGTGCCCCGGGCTCCTTGCGGCCTCGGCTTCAGTCCAGACCCGGCCGGGCCCTTCAGGGAGCTCGCACGCTGGGGTGCTGCTCTCTCTGCTGCAGGCGGTTCCTCCCCAGCCCAGCGGTCTCCTCCCGGGCTTGCACTGGCCTGTCCCCCAGAACCTGCTGGGAGCTCTTCTCTAGACATTGGCCGTGGGTCCTCCGCCCTGCGCAGTGGCCCTCTGGGGTCACCGCCCACATCTGACACCCTGTGACGTGAGCTATTATGTCACCTTCTTGGTTGTCTTGGAAAGGTTCGTCTGGGTCCTGCTGTTCTATCTTGGCCCAAAGCCAAAGTCTGTTCTTGTTCCTGAAGTTGACCTCTGTATTTGGCCACTTAATTTGGTGACACTGTTCTATGTAGAACAAGCTCTTGATGGCAGATACTTGGAGAAGCAGGATCTTGGCAGTTCTTGTGTGTGATTGTGGGTGTAAGTGCGGGACTTGGGTGCAGGTGGGAGCTTGCCCCTCACCTGGCTCACTGAGTATGCAGCACCTGCTGTGAAAGCCTTTTCGTAGAGCATTAGGAGCAGCCGCAGGTGAAAGCAGGCCTCGGGGCTGTGCGGACTCATCACTGGGCTGTGGTCAGCGCAGTGACATCTGCTCAGGGGCGCGCTCCCCTGACATGCCCTGCGCCCTGCCTCCTGTGCATCTAGGCTCCGAGGCCCAGTGGGGGTTATCTCGCCTGCTGCTTGGATGTGGACTTAAAACCCACCGAGCGCTCTGCCTTAACTGTGCGCCTCCAGACATTGTGGACATCAAGCCTGCCAACATGGAAGAGCTGACGGAGGTGATCACCGCAGCCGAGTTCCACCCGCACCAGTGTAACGTGTTCGTCCACAGCAGCAGTAAGGGGACCGTCCGGCTGTGCGACACGCGCTCCTCGGCCCTGTGCGACAGGCACTCGAAGTGTAAGTCCTGTGGCTTAAAGACGCCTCATTCCAACTTCTGTTCTCCAAACACAAGACCGCCTGCAGAGTTGGAGGCTGTCTCTGTCACCCCTAGACCGGGGCCTGCATACGACCCTGCCTTGCTTGTTTCAATCCTGGTTGCAGCCCTGCTGGAGGCCATTGCTGATGAGAAGTGGAACGTGGGTCCTGCTTCCCACAGGGCTACCCCCACGCGTGTCCTGCGTGGAATCCCAGCACTTCATCCCCGGGCTCCCTGGCTGGGCCCACTGAGAGCCATTCGTCGCCTCTCCCCTCTGTGTTAGGTCTCAGCTGAGACTGCCTGAGCACATTTCACTCACGGCTGTTCTCAGCCATTGGAATGGTGGTGTTGCCAGGGAGCTTTGCTAGACTTGAAGCATTTCTCTCAGGGGAAAGCTTGAGCTTTCATCCCTGAGCCTTGGAGTCCCTGTAAGTGAGGAAGCCGTGGTTTTGTTGCAGTGTTAGCTGTGAAGAGCAGGCCCAACCTCACGGGAAGCCGGTAGCATTTGTGTCACATGGGGGGGACATGTGCTGGGCACTCCCTGCAACACAGACGGGCGACCCTGTCCAGCTGAGCCGTGGATCCCCAGCCCCGTGACGTCCTCATTCAGGGTGGGCAGTCTGTTGAGAGTCTCCCAGAGAAAGTGCGAGGCAGCAGGCTTGCTGACTAGTTCTCAGGGCCTTCGTCATGCACTGAGGTTAAAATGAGGTGTAAGGGCTCTGTCACCCTTGGAGAGCCCTGCAGTGAAGGAGGAGTCCTGGGCGGCCAGTTCCGTGTCTTCAGTACAGCGTTCTCCAGTAAGCGCTTTAGATGCTGAGAGTAGTTTTGCCAGCAAAGAGCTTGGTATTGCTACCAGTTTGCTTAAAATTACTTTCAGATGCATAATTAAGAAACGTGCAGGTTTCCACATTTAAAATAAATAAAAGCTAAAGCAGCTTAAACTGAGAGAAGTACAGACTTCCTGGTCCAAAGTTTCTTGAGTGCAGGTGTGACCATGTGCTAGGGAACCTGGTGGGCTGGCTGAGCGCAGAGGGCCATCAAGTTATTGCTGAGAAAGGAACAACTTCAGGAGAAAGATAGGCCTGCTGAGGACGTTCAGAGCCTTTCTGAAAGTGGCAGGCAAGTCTGCCCAGGGAGATCCTGGCTGTTTAACAGCAGGAACAAAACCCTTTCCCAGCTGGCTTTGGAGGTGGGATGTGCTGGTTGTTAAAATGAGGCAGACAGGCCAGGGTGGGCTACAGCCTGTCGGCACCAGGTGCTATGAAGATGCACAGACTTTGTGCAGAGGCAGTCTCGGTGCAATGCCGGGGTCCTCCATCAGGACCCACACCAGTGTCCTGAGCTGCTCCAGGTTGCAGCTCTAGGCCCCATCTGTGGAGGTGCTGGGTCGCAGGCCAAGGTCAGGGACCTGTGCTTCTGATGCTGTCCCTTGTCACCCATCAGTAAGTGGCACTCAGTGTCTCCTAAGCCTCTGAAGCACAGAATTCAGAGGCCAGAAAACATACAGAGATCAGAAAGAGGATGGGGGGAGGCTTGAGTAGCGTGGAGGTTGTGCCCCTCTGGGGTCTTGGGAGGGCCAGAGTCCTACTTTAATGTGATTTGTTCTTTGATTTTTAAACAGAAGCTGAAATGTTGTGTTTTTTAGTTTTTGAAGAACCTGAAGACCCCAGCAGTAGATCCTTCTTCTCAGAAATAATCTCCTCCATCTCAGACGTGAAATTCAGTCACAGTGGTCGGTACATGATGACCCGAGACTACCTGTCAGTGAAGGTATGGGACCTCAACATGGAGAGCCGCCCCGTGGAGACCCACCAGGTGAGGCCGCCGCCTGGGGGCGGAGCCATGCCTGCCTGGGATGCTTCCTAACTGTCCTGTGGTTTCTTTAAGGTCCACGAATACTTGCGAAGCAAGCTTTGTTCTCTGTACGAAAACGACTGCATCTTTGACAAGTTCGAGTGCTGCTGGAACGGCTCAGATAGGTAAGGCCTCATCGTGGGGAGCAGCCCAAGCAGGCCGGCTCTCCTGAGGCCCCTCCCACTCCTGGGAGGCTGCCAGAGCAGAGGCCAGCGCAGGGCACTCGAGGCCGACTGGGGCCAGAGCTGCAGAGGAGGAGGTTGCTGGTGAACCTGCTTTCTGGGCCACGCGTGTGATGGTGACAGGGTCAAGGTGAAGTAGGACGTCGGACCTTGTGTTATATATACTCCATGGATTAGAGAGTGAGCGTGGAAGTAGGCTCTTCCTGGCTGGTTTGAAAGTGTTCAGTGAGTGATAATTCACTTTATTTCCAAGACGGGTGAAAAGGAAGGAAGTGAGGAAGTTGCTTACTGTTAAGTATGTGGACTGGCTACATTCTGCCTTTTCTGGGAAATACCGTCAGGCATACTTGGACAAAAAGTGGAGATGGCTGGTCTGAGATGCTGATTTAATTCATGACGTTCTGATACACTCATGATTTATCCTTTGCACGTTCCTTAAAGATGGTAATGCAGACACTGCTAAGAGTTATGTCTTTAATATTACACAAAAAACTTAACATTGCAGATGCTGAAAGGAAAGCATTCGCTTTGTCTTTAGTAGAACTTCACGTAGCATGGCTCGCCTGTGATGTAACTAAAGAGGTGGCTTCGCCACCGAGGGCCTGAGGCGCCTGCGGGTCTTGGCTGCGACACCATACATCTTTTCACATGCATGGTTGAGCTCACAAATAAGTAAGGGACATTGCACCACAGCCAGCAGTGAAGACAAGCGGAAGCCAGAATGGTCAGAAACCCTGAAGCCCTCGGCTGGCCTGGGGGGTCAGCTGTTATAGCAGCCACACCTCAGGAGTAGCAGCGCAGGAGTGGTCATGACCTCAGAGCCACACGAGATGGGCAGTTGAAGCTGGGCCTTCATGGAAAAGACACCCATCTGTGTTCAAAGTCTCTGGGGAGATTTGTCTGTCTGAGGCCTCAAGGCTTGAGTGGATTAAAATCCCCGGATTTATTACCATAAGACTGCCCTCTCCCACAGGGATGCAGGGTTTGTGTCCACACTGGTTGCATGATCTGGAAGAGCTAACTCAGGCATCAAGTTCCACCAGGTGTCAGAGCTCTGGGCGTCTGGGAGAGCCACAGTATCCAAGTCTGGGCTTTCACTCTGCTTACAAGCTGACAGGCTACCTCCTAGCATCTCTGGGTGCAGGCTGACAAAGGGGGCGCCTGCGTCAAGAGACAGAACTTTGTTCCCCACAGCACAGCCAAGCAGCGTGAGCTTCATGCTGGCGCCAGTTTCTGCTGGAGTGACACAGACCCGGGCAGATGCCATGCAAGTAGTGGGGGCTGTACCACAACTGCCACAGACTAAGCTTTGGGGGACCCTTTACTCACACAGAAAGTGGTAAACAAGCTGCACTTGAACTGTTGCAAACACAGCCCCAAGACAGGGCCAGGTTGAGAGTACTCAAGACTCATGCTCGTGAGGCCCTCTGAGAACACTCAAGGCGCCCACGCCCATGGCGGACCCGCTCACGGTTTCCCCAGATGGAATCACAGTTTCCCCAGATGGAAATCAGCTAAACATGAGCTCAGGTAAGAGCCACCAAGTGGGGAAATGGAGGAAACCACGGAAGAAAGCCAGCATGAAAAGTCAGCAGAAACAGCAATGGGACTTAACCCCTGAGAACTGAGATATTTAAATCGTACAGAATATAAAAAGGGTGATGGAAATATTGTTGGATTAAAGGAAGGAGCAGAAACTTGTAAAAGGAACACAGGACTGTTAAAAATGACCTAGGATATTTGGGAAAGAATCACACATCTTCTAGAACTGAAAAATGGAACACTTTTTGTACAACATAATTCACTGTGTGGATTTAGTAGGAGAGCCAGTGCAGCCAAAGAGAACTTGAATCGGTGAACTGGCACCGATCAGAAAGATTTCAAGATCAGTTCTCCTGATGCAGCATGCAGCGCAGAGAGCCAGAGAGCAGAAGTGTGGAAGGTTGAGAAGCACAAGGACAGGGGAGGGGGCACCACACCTTCAGAGGGGAGGAGTCTCCAGAAGTAGGGGCTGTGGAGAAGCAAACTTTGGTAATCGCCAGGAACCCCCTGACTGACGAGAGTGAATGCACGGAAGTCCACGTGTGCACTGCAGTGGAGCTGGAGGGCGCCCGAAGCCAAGGGAGGACCTTAGAAGCAGCCAGGGGAAAAAGCTTTTGCCTTCGGAGAAAGGGTGACTGAGAGCAGCCTTGTCAGCACAGCCATAGAGCCAGAAGGTAGCAGCCCCGTGCAGCCCCCTGTGACCCCACCCCCCGGCCTTCTGTGCGCTATGGGGAAAGCTGCCGTCAGCCTGGGGCCGTGCGTGCAGATACGCGGTCTTGGAAGAATGTGCGTGGGATCCAGGCGCTCCAGGTGGAAAACCAAATTTGCCATAACAGGAAACTCATGAAAGTGAGATCTAGAGGGATTCACTCAGTGATGCCTTCCCAGGGAGAACAAATGGGACCCCGAAGAGGAGTCTGGGACCCCAGGGAGACGGCAAGCAGAGCAGTCCGTGAGGATGTGAGCAGGGCTCAAGGGATGTCCATGCGGCAGGCCTGTGTGGATCTGTCTCAACTGGTGGTCTGTGCGGGCGGACACAGCGAGAGCCCTCCCTCACCCCACACAGCAGGTGCTCTCTGAGACAGCATGTGTATGGGCTCTGGGGACCGCAGCACTCACTAAACAAGGCCGCCAGAACCCAAGCAATGAGGGAAAACAAATTCAACTGTGTTAACATTTAAGTGTCTTCATATGAAAGGAAGCAGTGAGTGAAACTCATGAATTACGACAGAAATACCCTAACTGTGTAGAGTGCTCTAAGTTAGCAGGAGGGTGGCGGTCAGCTCAGGACTTCGGTCGACAGCAGGGGAAAAGGGAATAAAAATGCTCGGCCTCATAAGTCATCAGATTGGAGGGATAGGTGCCACGCCACCCCGCTGCCGTCTGTGCCCATCAGAGTGATGGGAGTGTCCGGGTGGAGGTGTGGGGGCTGACGGCCTTGGGCACGGCCGTGCTTTGAGACACTGGTAATAGCGAGGTGAGCTGGACTGTCTCTTGCATACAAATTACATTCAGAAACATGACCCAGCGAACACCTGAAACAGCCTGTGTTGTTAGGTGAACAGATGGGTATTGTCTCTTCATGAGGTGAAATAGTGAACAGCAGTGGACAGCCAGTGAATTAGACCAGTTTGCCCTTGAATGATGCCCTTTCAACTTGCTGTTGAAAATCCACAAAAACTTAGCTACCGTTGTCCTGAAGCCTTACCAGTAACATAAGCCGTAGATTAACGCACATTTTGTACAGTCTGTTATATACTGTATTCTAGTAATAAAGTAAGCTAGGGAAAATGTTCCAAAATGTCACAAATCTCAGAAAAAAATTCCCAATACATTTGTTGGAAAAACCAGTGTGTAAGTGGGCCAGCGCAGTTAAAGCCCTGCTGTCCCAGGGTCAGCTGTACATGTAATCACATGGATGGTCTCACAAAGATAATGAGCAGAGAAAGCAAACTGGGGAAGAATACATGTGGTTTGATGACTCATCGGACATTTAGAATATGGGACATTTTGTTTCTAAGAATATGTAACTATTCAGAATATGAACTTGTATAGGAATGATACACATAATAAGCAGTTGCCCTAGCAGGTGGGGGGGGTCCTTATTGGTCGGAGTTGCTTATGGGCACGTGGATATTCATTGTATTATTCCTTATGCCTTTGGCTTATTTGAAATATTGCAAAATACTTGTAAACCATCCTCCCCCAGGAGCCTCTGAAAGCTTTCCGGTAAAGTTACTTGTTCATTCACCCTTGTGAACATTTCCCTACTTCTTGCCTGGAAGCTTCTACTGAGGGGCGGGGTGAACAAGGGACTGTGCTGCTGGGCCGGTCCGCTGTGCTGCGTTCCACGCTGTCCGGCACAGATGCGCGTAGCTGTCTGCGTGTGTCCACTTCAGCAGCGTTCAGTGGTATTGCCACCTGGCCACGTTCTCTGGAAGGTTCCAGTTTATGGGGTGTGGAACAGTAGGCTGGTGGAAATACACCCTCCCGTACAGGCATTGTCAAGCTTTCCAAAGTAGTAATAAAACTGGAGGTTGGTCTGCTTTTATTTCTGCCATGCACCACAGTTCTAACCAAGGGTGATAATAAAGTACTCCTTCCGGAAAAAGTCTTACTGGGCTCTGGTCTGAGTAGTTGTTGCTCATACAGTTGAGTTTTCATGTGGTAGACGTCAGCTTCAGATGACACCTGTTGCTTGTCCTTCTGTGAGCACTGTGTTCTGTGCAGACTGTCCTGGAGCCCCCTGCCCACACGCGGCCCTCAGCCAGGCCGGATGCAGGCGCAGCTTCACCTGGGTTCACTTACCACAGTTTGTCTCCAGCCCCCGCGCTGCTAGGTTCCTGGGGGTGAGCCTCGGCATCCAAGTGAGGAAGGGTAGCTGCAGGTAATTTTTCTTTTCTCAGTTTTGTCTTTTTTTCTGGTGTGAAGCTTTAGATGTGGTTAACCAGACACTGAAGTATTTGCACACAGCCAGGGTCAGCCCTGAATCGTGGAAATAAAGCAGAGCTTTCCGTGGTGCCTGGAATATCGTCCTAACCAGGCAGTGACGGGACACATAGGATGTGGGTGTCCAATTGGGAAACTGGGGCGCAAAGGGAAGAAGGCTTTTACCCAGTCAGAAGCTCTCAGACCAAAGATCGAGAGCTGGACTCATTCTGAAGCTGTGGGTCAAGTCATGGCTACATTTTCTTTCATTCAGCTGTTTTCCTCTCATCTTTGTAGAAAAGACCAGAGGTGTTTTTTTTTACCAGTATAGCAGATATGTGTCATGACGTGTTTCAGTGGAATTTTTTGCTGCAGAAAAAGCCACGAGATTTAATCCTGAAGAAATAAGGTACAGACAGTATTGCAGCATCTGGACTTATTGGGAAATGGGGTTCTGCTTTCCTCCCATACTTACTACCCCAGTGTTCGAGACACCCCGAGTCTTTGTGTGCCTCTTGTTTCATGAGAAAAATCTTTTTGAAATTAGAATGGATTAAAAAGCATTCTTTGATTACCGGAGTGAAGGTATGATGACAAATTTTGACTGATACCTGTTGAACATGAATATGTGGAGATTAGCTTTGAGTCATTGACAAAGTGCAGAGGTTAAGACTTGAAAATACACTGTTACTTATGACTCGGACAGATGAATGTGTAGAGGTTTTTTGTGGTAAAAAAAAAAAAATTTTACCAACATAATTATGTATATATGAAGTTCAGTAAGAAATTCTCACTGTATTTTTCTCCTGACCATTATCATCCATCTCATTTCCAGATGTACTTTGGTCATGCAGTGGAGGGCACGGGACAGTGTCCGCACTGTGAGTCCCGTGGGGGCCCTGGTGCTGTGGGTTGGGTCGAGTGCCTTTCTGCTTAGACGTGTCTCTTGTTTTGAACAGTGCGATTATGACTGGGTCTTACAACAACTTCTTCAGGATGTTTGACAGAAATGCACGGAAGGATGTCACCCTAGAAGCTTCCAGAGAGAACAGCAAGCCTCGAGCCGGCTTGAAGCCTCGGAAAGTATGTACGGGCGGTAAGAGGAGGAAAGACGAGGTCAGTGTGGACAGTCTGGACTTCAATAAGAAGATTCTCCACACAGCCTGGCACCCCTCGGAGAATGTCACTGCTGTGGCTGCCACCAATAACTTGTACATATTCCAGGACAAGGTCAACTAGGGTGCTCGGGGGTACTGCGTCTGGTCTCGCAAAGTAAGCTCACTGCCTCCTGCCAGAGGGAAGGCGCTCCCCTCCATGCCGCGGGGGACGCACTGTGCGCCCTCCATGGGTGGGAGGCTGGCCACATGCAGCCCGGAGGGGCTGCATTCTCTGCCAGGTGAGCCACATGTGTCGCCACTCACACGAGAAGCCCACTCAAACCAGAACTGATGGACCGTGCTCAATAAAGGCCGTTACTCAAATAAATGGGTTTACTTAAGTCTGAGCCTTCCTTTGCAATTCATAGACCAAAACCTACCGCCCAAGAGAACAGTTGTCATATATGCCATCTCTTTGTCCAGCTCTTTCCCTCCTTTGCGTCCATCCTTGGGCCCTGGTGCACGTGCCGCGTGACTCTGCCCTCCCTTTGGCCTTGCGCTCAGCCCCGGGGCCCACCGTGGACGAGTCGATTTGGCCAGGGCAGCCCCAAGGCAGCTTTAGTGCCCTACTGCGCCAGGCATCGTGTGTTCTGTGCAACCATTTGATAAAAGCAACACACTGGGAAGTCTTTAAATCCAAAGTGTCGCCTTTGTTTGCTTTAACTGCATATAAAAATATCAGGTATAATTATGCTTTGGAACAATTTGAGAAAAGTCCTTTGTGACCCAAAAGGTAGACGGTGCGCAGTACTTCAGACTCTGAACGTCTCTCCCAGACTCCTGGGACTTCTCCGCTGCTGTGGACACAGTGCCCCTGACGTACCAGGTAAGGCCGGGGAAGCCCTAAGTGCCCACCTTGGGGCAGACAGTTGCAGGGAAGAGGGTTCAACAGCATGTGCTCTAAGTTAGCGCCTGGTTTAAAGTACACCTCAAAGTCACTGCAATTGGAAACAACATTCTTTCTAAACCCTTTTTAAAAGTATGTCGAGGGGGGGTGTACTTTTTAAAAATTGCAGAAGTCCTATTATATGCATGCTGAATTTCATCTTGTATTTCAGCCAGCAAAATTAAATTATTTTAAATATGTAATGTGCAGCATCTTGGTGGTTTATTTTAAAAGTAGTATCTTTGGTACCAGAAGTCAGGGTTTGCCAAATAAGGAATACAGAGGCGTAGCAGCGCCAAGCGGCCAGCGCCTACCGGGTGTGCTTCACAGGCCGGGCTTCCGCCCTGCCGCCCAAGTCCAGGTGGACTTTGGTGTCCGAGGCGATGGATACGTAAGAACAAAATGTCCTCACTCATCGCCCTGAAACGGTGTGCCACTTCAGTTCACATTAAGTTAGAAATTGAGAGTCTTAATTTATTTGAATTCAAAAATAATTCTTACACTGTTCATTGGTTGTGACACAAATTTATGAATCTGAGATGTGGAAGAGAGTTGCTTTAAGTATTATTCAATCCTAGTCCTTCAGAAAAAAGTTGTAGTGAAATGGGATTGTATATAGTCAACTATTTTGACCAAAAGATTAATAAATTTTAAATGTGTAACTGGATTTGCACTGTGTATTTGGACAACTTTTTCCATCTTTCCTTTAAAAAATGTCCTGTCAAATAGAAAACCAGTCTGGTGCATCTTGGAGGGGACAGAGCAGAAGGTAGGCACTGCAGGGCGGTGGCTGCAGCTCTGCCTGGGTGCAGAGTCCCTGGCGGCATCGTCAGCTGGCACTCGAGTCCCGTTCCGGCCTTGACGCTCCTCGGAGGTACGCCCCAGGGCAGTGGAGTGTGCGAAGCACCCCCTTAAGAGGCTGCGTGGCCTCCCCCAGCTCTCTTCGCTTTATACTTCTGATTCCACTGAAGCCTTTTTCCTTTTCAATGGGTGACAGTCCTTTGGTTTCCAGATTTCTGTTTCTTGTTTATATTCATGAAATGCCTGTCATTTTTCTTCTAAAAGGTTCTAAACCTTTCCCCTTTTCTCTGGTTTGAGAAATTTACTTGCTCCTGAAGGTCAATTCTGTGAACTGTTCTCATTTTTAGAAGTCTGTGCTCCTTAGAATTACTTGAAGCTTCAACACTCTTAACACCAGTGACCTAGATAAGCTTTGTTTACATGTGGATTTAGACTGCAGTTTTCTTAAAGAAAAGTTGAGCTTCTGTAAGCCAGTACAAGACTAAAAAGCATCGTAATGGATCAGGGGCATCAGTGACGGAGCAGCGTGGTGAATGTCGTTCTCCGCCGTTCCACCTACCTACGGCTACACCACCATGCTCTCCACGGCCAGAGGCCGTCCCAAAGCTGTCACCTGGCCAGTGTGGTGTGTCCAGTTCCTGGCTGGGCTGAGCAGAGGGCTCTGTGTTGCTAGCATTGCATTCGTACAAGGAATTGTCTGCAAGACTGCATAAAGCAGTTGGGCAGAATGTCAGAATTGGCACTTAACTGTCTTGCAAACATGTCCACAGACTAGCAGCCTTAGCATCACCAGCAAAATGGTGGCAGTGAGGTCAGGAGCGGGAGGCCAACAGTGGGCTGGGGCTCTGTGGGTGAAGGGACACTGGTGCCTGCTGCCCATAGGACAGAGGGCTGTGCTCAGAGCCCTGGTCTGAGGGCAGGGTTCTGCTCTAGGATCCCAGGAAGGGTGTTAACAGGGAGGGAACACGTCCATTATGAACTGTCCTCATGCCAGGAGAGTCCAGGAAGTCAAGACATGAAAGTATGAGCGTGAGTTGCAACGGTAACCAGCGCCTGGCCTTTGGGCATTCAGGTGGAGAGGCAGCCGGCACAAAGGCATGGGGCTGGAAGGGGCCAGAGACAGCAACTTCAGGGGTCTGCCTGCTGCCCACAGGGGGAAGCCCGTTTGTGTGGCCGGCCCAGACCTGCCTGGCCAGGCTGGACTGCACTTCCCTTGGGTCCCATCCTTGGTGCAAAGGGGCTTGTTGTGTGCAGGTTGGAGGCCACCAAGGAAGCTGAGCACATGACCCCCTTGGGCTTCTCTGCATGTGGTCCTGCAGGCTTTGTGGGTGGGTGTAGACCAGATTCGGGTAAGGGGCAGCACCCGCCTCCCTGCCATGCACACAGGCCTGACCACAGGGAGCAGTGGGGTCTGACTGGCATGGATGGTGACCCTGATGGCAACAGCCCCTGGCACCGGGTGCTCGGTGCAGGCATGCAGGCACTGGGCTGAGTACTACCCTGAAGCCAGCATGGCAGGCCCCAGATGGACACAGCACGGCCATGGTGGTGGGTCTGGATCTGAACTCGGGGCCCAGGTTGCACAGATGACAGAGCAGGTGAGTCCAGGTGCAGGGGCCACTTGCACACCCCGGAGCTTGACCTTGATACTCTAGCAGGCGCAGTGTCGTCGGAGTTGTGAGAGGGAAAGAAACGAGCCGATGGAGCTTGGTGTCGTCTGGGCCTGGGGCTGCTTGAGGCTCGCCTCCCGCCTGGCCGCTTCCCCTCCACATGTGGTGCCACCCAAGGCAGAGCCCCTGAGCTGCGTGTCTGGGGCAGGGGCAGTCATGCCGAGCAGGGCCTGGGCAGCGGGCTGGCCGAGGTCACGTGTGGCCAGTGGACCTGGCTCGGGCTTTGAAGCACGGAGCTGGCAGGCTTGGCTGCGTGTCCCCAGCAGGCCTCTGCGGCCACTCCAGCACTCGCCCCCAGGCGGCGTCCTGTTCCTCTTCACTCCGCTGCTGGTTAAAGGCACAGTGAGGAACCGAAACCCGTGATTTCTCCAGAGATCGCCAGCGGTGTCTGGGTGAGTAACTGGAGGTGGCTTCCTCGGTTTTTGTTTTCCATCTGGTGGTTTGAAGGTGTTTCTGGTAGTGGGATAATCTTCGGTTCGGCAAGTCCCCGGCCTTGGGCTTTGTAGCCCTTTGCCCGGCACCCTCGGGGCCCTCCTCGTACTGGCAGCTCAGACGGACGCGGGATGCTGGTGCATCTGCAGGGACGCAGAGCCCAGGCCCCTCCCGAGGCGAGAAGGGCTGCATGGCTGTGCGGCGTGGCCGCCCCACCAGGCGGCACAGGGAGGCGGCTGGGCCAAGACTCTGGGGGGACGCCAGCTCTGCGCAGGGTTGGCGGGGGTTCCTGCATCCCTCCCCTCGGCTGGGAGGCTCCGTCGGGTTTACGGCAACTTTCAAGATGACTGTGTCCCAAGACAGTGCACCCGTTTGCCTCAGAGTTCACTTAGAAAACTGCCTTTTGAAACCTTGGGGCATCTTTCAGAAATGTGTTCCATAGGGTGAAACACATCGTTGACTCCAAGAGCTACTACCTTTCACAGGAAAATTTGTTCTCTAAACTCTGAGGTCTACATGTGGTATAACTATGGTTCTTAATAGAAATGGTGGTTCTTGTGTGTGTGTAGCTCAGACTGACATACATTATATATTGGATGTATACCATGATTCCATATTTGAATATATTGTGATCACTACCATCTGTCAAAAATTTCTTGTGTTGAGAACTTAGAAGAGTAACTCTCAGCAGCTTTTAAATACACAGCACAGTGTTACTAGCTCAGTGGCCATGCCACACATACCATCCTCATGGCTGTGGACTCCCTCCACCCACTCCCACTGCCCCACCCCTGCCTCTGGTACCACCTGTCTGTTCTGTCTCTGTGAGCTTATTTTGTCTTTAGATTCCACATCAAAGTGAGATCCTACAGTGTCTGTTAGACTTATTTCATTTAGCATGATGCCCTCTAGGTCCATCCATGTTGTCACAAATGGCAAGATTTCATTTTTTATGGCTGAGTAATATTCACTGTGTGTCACATCTTCATGATTTGTCCATCCACGGACACTCAGGCTGTTTCCACATCCTGGCTATTGTCAATAATGCTGTGGTGAACATGGGGATTTATGTTTTCTTTGGGAAAATATCTGTCCAGATCTCCTCTTCTTCAGTCAGACCATTAGGGGGTTTTGCTGCTGAGCTGTAGGATTCTCTGTGGATCCTGTATGGTAGCCCCGTAACGGGTACACCATTTGCAAATGCGCTACCCCACTCAGTAGATGCCCTCCCGCTCGATTGGCTTCCTTTGCTTGGTAGCTTCCTGCCCTGATGTGATCCTGCTTGTTCACACGGGTTCGTGTTCTCTGGCATTGGGTTCAAAAGTCGTCACCAAAACCTGTGTCGAGCTCACCACCTGTTTTCTGTTCTTAAGGTTTCAGGTCTTACATTCAATCTTCAGCCCATTTTGAGTTAATCCTTGTGTGTGGGGTGAGGTAGGGGTCACCTTCCCAGCTCTCCTTGTTGAGACGGCCCTTTCCCCATTGTTCTTTCCTGGCCCTTTTGTGGTTGACCGGCCATAGGTGCCTGGGTTTACTTCCGGGCTCCCCTCGCCCTTTCTGTGGTGACTTCTGTGGGGAGACAGTGAACCGGCACTCCCCGTCAGAACCCCACCACTTGATTCAGCAGTTGTGTTGCCTGGTGGTGACTCATTCTGTCATCCCTTACATAATACTGGGTTTCTGTCAGTGTGGCCTGGTGGGGACCTGCCTTAGTCTAGAGCTGAAGAGCCATTCCTATTGTGACTGTCCCCATTGTCTCGGTTCTCGCCACTGTGAGTTCCTTCGGTTGGCTTCTGTGTCCTTCCACCTTGCCGGCATCTCTTGAGCACCCTGTCCCCTTACCACAGATGAGCACCACCCTGCCCTGCGGTCGGCCCGTATCCCGAGGAGCCCTGGGTCCCCGAGAATGGCATTAGAAACCAGCATCTGGACGTTGGTCTGGCTCATGGCTATTGACGTGTCATTGTTCCTATGTCCTTTCACTGAACAGAGCTGAGAAACATTTTCCTTAATTTTTAGGAATATATTTTTTAAAGAATATGTTTAGGAAATAAAGGTGTACACACACACCTCTATTTTTCTATTGTCTCTATACATTTAAAACCGTGCATCATGAACACCTCCAGCTCAAATGCACCATGGGCCACATGCTCACTGTCCCACAGACCTGGCTCTCCGTGCCACACATCCTCCCTGTGTGCAGCATCCACGTCCACACTCACCAACCCATGCCTTCAGGAGCACCAGGTCCACCGGCAGCCGTATGCCCAGGCTCGCCCTCTCGAGCCTCGCGTGCTCGGTCCGTGTGCCGTGACCCTCAGTCCTCGCCTTCCCTTTCAGTTCTGCTTCAGTCACGTCCTGACGGGGTTCCCTTGTGTTCCACCGCAGAGATCCCCCAGGTGTTCATTTTTAATTGATTTTGGCATTAAACATGGAGTATTGCTGCTGTTGAGTCACAAAAAGTGTGACTTGCACCCCCTGCGGGCAGCCACCACTCTCTGCCGCACTCACCCCTATTGCTGCATAAATGAAGTTTCCTATTTCCTTTGGGCTTTTTTGCATAAACAACATGCCATGTATTTATTTTTCAAACACTTTTTGTTTGCCAGCCTGCACCTTGGGGTCAGAGGTTCAGCTCATCTCCTCTTAATGGTGTCAACTGGGCTTTCACCAGAGGATCGCCATCTGAGAGAGACCGCCCCTCCCGCGTAACCAACGCGTGCTCCCCAGGTAGGTCTCTGCACAAGGGGGACTTCCTCACAGCCTGGGACAGGAGTCACAGGCAATCAAGGCTGGGCAAGTGGCCCAGCATGACGAGCAGTCAGGGGCCAGGGAAGGGACCCGGGCATGCCTCTCCTGGTGGCGTGGAACTGCCCGGCTCCACACTATCCCTGACCTTTAGTACCAATACTTCTGCGCCTTGGACACTCCTGTGGTTGTTTTGAGGAACCTGTGTGGTGCGCCCCTGTGTGGAAGCCCCAAGCTTACCCAGCCTCTGTGAAGGTCAAATGTCTTGTACTTAATATATATGACTATTACAAACGCTAGGTATGTTCCTGCACATATGCATTTTCTACTCTAAGAGGTTTATTCTTCAGGGTGAATTTCTAGACATGGCCACCTGGAGCAGGCAGGTATGGCTTTTTAAGGTACTTTTCTTTTGAACGTACATTCCTTCTAGCAGGGTACAAGGGTCATGTCCCAGTTTGCAAAGTCAGACTCTGGGGTTAGAGCATTGGGTCAGGAAACTGCATTTAAAAGCAGCAGCCGAGTTTCATCTTTATGACCAAAATTGTTTGGATTATGTTCCTTTGTCAGCTTGCTCTTCAGTGAGTAAAATGGCATCATTCCTATTGACAGCAAAATGGGCTGTTTGAAAAGCTTGATTACTATACTGCTATTAGCCTGCTGAAAGAAAAAATATGTATTTTAAATGAATCATTTCATATTAATAAAACGGCCACTGTAATACCAGTCTTATGGTAGAAACCTCTAGAAAACCTGAGTCTTGGCCTTCCCCTCTCTGACGGGGAGCACTCTCCTGACAGCAAGTCTCAAGAGTCCAGCCGACGCCACCGATGAAAAGCGCCGCCCAGTCGCCTGCGCCATGGTTTGGATGGCCGGAGGGGCCCCTTCAAGGGCCGCTGCTCGTCCTGAGGACACTTGACTGCTCGGACGTGCTGAGTGTGGTCCCCGCAGTCGTGACACTCCAGCCAGAAGCAGCAGAGGAGCCCCTTGATCTCTGATGAAAGACAGACACCTCCGCGGTAAACCAAGGGGATTTGCTTGGACAGGGTGATTCCACCTGACCTCACAGGTTGTCTTTTTTAGCGGGTAAATAACGTCAGTTCAGTGCCATTCAACCAGCTGCCTCCAAACAGAAGGGCTGTAAGCCACTACTACATGATAATTGTTTCAATATAAACAAATGTTCTAAAAAATTAAAATGTGACATTTATTTTAACATAAGAATTCAGCGTGGAAGAGCGAAACACATGCACACATGGTGCACCAAGTGGCAGCCCTGAAAAGCTGTGCCGCAGGGAAGAGTCCTGGTGTAGTCATTTTGAACCATACGTAAATGCAGTCATCTCTGAAGGATTTGGCAAAGATTTATTTTTTTCTGTCTCCAGTCTTTCAAAATAGCTACCGATTTGTTTAATGAAGCTGCTTCTAAGAGCACACAAAACGTGAGCACACTGCATAGATGAAACCCAGCGATCTAGAGTGACGGGTGGTGCAGGAGTGAGCCCGGTGGGCGCCCTGGGTGGGCTGCCTGGCCACGGTGGCTCCCCACTGCCGGAGAGCACAGGAGGTCACCGCCCTGCAACTCGGGGCTCAGTGGCACAGCAGAGTCCATATTGTGCCATGGGTTCCATGTATCACGTAACAAAGAACTGGCAGAGTTCAACACAGTCTCTAAGTAGACGACCTGCATCCACGTCACCGTCCACCCTACAGTGGTGTGAATGTAAGGCCACAGTATGTACTGGGGACAACCTCCTATGGATCATTTTACTGTCAGCATCATTCTTCTGAAATAGGAAGTGTTTCTGAATTAAGGTTACAGACAGTTTTTCTTAAAATACTACATACATTATGACTAGTATGTTAAAATTATTGATACTTAAGATATTTTAATATCCAAAGGAAATTTACTACCAAATTATTACAGTAGATATTAATCAGTATGGCATGCTTATTCATTGATTCCATACGTATGAGTATAGATCAGCATGATTTTAGTGTCTTCTCTTTCATTTTACTAAGTCAGGAACACAGCATTTACAGAACACACACAAACTGTGCACCGCCCCAGGACTGTGACAGCTCCCCGGCCAGCTGCGCTGCAAGCTCCGCTAAGCCCCGCAGGGGAAAAAAGCCGGATTCCAGTTCTTCCTCAGAAGGTACTGGTGGAGGTGGTCAGGCGCCTTCCAATATAGATCCTTAACAGAAAAAGCGATTGACAGTTAATGTGGGCTCCTGGGGCACCAGCTGAGCCAGGGCAGCTGGCTGGGGTCACACCTTACACGGGAGACTGGCCATCGTACACCTGTTTAAAAAACTTTGTGATGAATATCAGTGGACTTGCATTAAGTCAGTTTTACTCTTCATCAACATGTTTCGCAGGAATGTCATTGGGAATGAGTCCCACAGTGCTGTGACAGTGCAGTGTCCTCATTGCCACAACACACGGGGACCAGCCGGCCAGAAATGCCGAGGAGAATGGCTGGGGGAGCTGCCCCAGGGCAGGTGACATCATAGTAAGTGCACCACCAGCCTCACGAAGGCCACTGCTGGGCCATGAAGCCCCTGCTCACAGCCGTCTAAGCTCGGGGGTGGCGAGAGGGGCACCCAGAACCCAGAGGCCCAAGCTGATGCCTGAAGAGGGGCAGGAGGAAGGTGTGACCCCAGGAAAGGGCCCCAGGAGCAGCAGGCCTACGGGGAGGGGCAGAAACGAGCCTGCAGGCCTGCTGTGGGAGCTTCCATCCTGACAGCGATGGGGCCCTGGAGGCCTTTTCCAAGTCTGTTAGGAAGGGTGCAGGGCAGGGACACCAGTCAAGGGCTGATGGCAGAGCCTATCCAGGGATGGAGGCTGAAGATGCAGGTCACTGGGTCCTGCCCCCAGGATCTGACTTGCTGGTTCTGGAGAAAGCTCCAGAAACCACCATCTACAAATGCCCTGGGTGAGCCCTAACCCTGAAAAGTACTGGCCAGGAGCCAGAGCAGGGGGACACTGCCAGGTACCTCGGAGCTCTGGCCCACCCAGGGAGCACCTTCCATGGGAGGAAGAATTACAGTCCATGGCTGGCGTCAGGGAGGGCAGCCCCGTGCTCCCCTCCACAGGGCTGGACGTGGGCATTATTAACCTTGCAAGACCCACGAGCTTCTACCTTCCATGTTCCATGTTTGATCTGGGCAAAGGGGAGGCTGGGCACCAGGGCATTTCCACCCTGATTCCCTCAGTGCCCCTGAGGGGAGTCCTCCCGGCCGGAAGCCCACCCTGACAGCCGCTGTGACCAAGACTATAGAGGCCACGGGTAGGGGTGGAGGGCACCCTGGGGACTGCAGGCCTTGTCACTGTGTCACTGCTGAGCAAGCAAGCGCCTTATCCCCCAGGAAGGGCGGCCCAGAGGCAGGAAGCCACCCGCCCCACCCATGGTAAGAGCCTCCTGACCAGGGTGGGGAGCACCTGGGCAGGCTCATGCTGCAAGAAACACCTCACAGGATGCGACCCAGGCTGAGGCTTACGGGGTCGGGTCCCCACTCACCCCAGTCCGACGGCCAGGAGGTGGGAAAGCAGCAGGGACGGGAGGAACACCTTCAGGAACTCGGCCGAGAAGATGCCGCCCCTCTTCATGACGCTCGTGTTCCTCATGCTCAGGGCGGTGGCGCGCCTCGGGTGTCTGAAGAGGAACTCCCTGGGGGAGAGACGCAGTGAGCGTGGCCGCACTGCCTGCGGCGGGGTGGGGGCCCTGCGCCGCGGCACTCACTTGGGGGGCACATTTTCCGGCCGGCTCGACCAGTCCCAGATCCAGTCCGAGTTCTTCTTCAGGATCCTCTCCACCTCCTTCCTCCTCTCCAAGTAGTCTTCCTCGGACTGCGGGGCCAAGGCGAGGCAGGTGAGCCAGCACAGGGAGCGGCCCGGTGCACCGCCTCGCACAGGCCTCCTCCCCGGGGGGCAGGGGCGCCGCTTCCAAAGGCCCGCGCGCGCCCACCCGTCGTGAGGAAGCGCGGACGGGGAGGCCCCGAGGGCCGGCTGTGGCTCCACCCGGCAGCCGAGTGGCCTGGCAGGCAGGCCCGGGAGAAAGGCGCTCACGCGTGCGGGCCGGAGAGGCCAGACGCCGCGCCCCTTGCCATTTCCACTGCATTTCTCAGATGACGTGAGACATTCATCAAGGGGCCTTTAGAAGTAGGATTATAGTTGTTTTTCTCTACTTTGCACTCAGAAAAGATTCTGTACTTGAGCATTTAATTCCTTTTTTAAAATTTGGGGGAAATACTTAAATTTTGGAAATGCTTTACAACAGTACACCAAAACCAACCATATGCCTGGGCACACCCAAGCTGGCCGTGGACCCCAAAGGCCAGGAGTGCGGCTGCCCGGGGCTGGGGTGGCGCCCGCTCGGGGCTCCCGTGGGGTCCGGAAGCCTCGGTGTGCTGACGGGGCCCCTTGTTTGCACGGTGAGCGTGGCAGGACACCTAGTGCCCCTGCAGGGAACTGACCATAAGACTGCTTCCCGAGACAGGCTGAAGTGGGTGGGGAAGCACCGCCTGCTCCTGTCACCCCAACCCTAATGTGCACCCAGGGACACACTTCCTCTGCATGGGGCCAGCAGACCGGATGAAGTGAGAGTGGCCACTGCTGCCTTGAGCTCCTCCATGGCGGCGGGGTGGCAGCACCCAGGCACCCGTCCTCGCAGGCCAGGCTCTGGCTTGTGGCCCCACCAAGGGGCCCAGTGCTGGCACAGAAGACCCATTAAAAACTGGCTGAGCAGATGTTGGAGAAAAGCCAGCCAGGTTAGCTCCTGACATTAAGCCCCCGACATGCCAGTTGGCATGCCCGGGGCTGGTTTCTGGAAGGAGCTACAGTGTCTCGTGAGGAAACAGTCAGTGCCGCCACAAGGCAGAGGGCCCCACAGAGCCTGTAGGAAACGCCAGGCTGTCCCCGACAGCCTGGGCATGAGGGCCCACCTCACCGGCCGACAGAGACCACCATGGTCTGCTCCTAGCCACCCCTTCTACCCTGCCATGTCCGCAGATGGCCTATGGAGTGGGGGTGGCCCATAGCGTTGGAGCCCTAACCTGAGTCCATTCCTGCTCCGTGCCATGAAGCCATATGGCGTAGAAGCCTTTACCCCGCAGTCTAAAAGGAGGCGAGAGTCACCCGAACCCCAAACTCAGTTACATGGAAAGCCTGAACTGCACCCACAGATCACGGACACCCGCTCCGGCTCACCTGGACACTGTTCTTCTCCCCGACGCTGTGGGAATCTGCCTCTGAAGCTCTGTTATTATCCTGTGGAGTCTGTGAGCGAGGCGGGCTGGGAAGTGGTGAAGGAAGGAGACACGTGGCACGTGACCCACCTGCCCTTGGCCCTCCTTCCACCCGGCACCAGACTGGGCGCACCATCCCATCTTCACAGCTGGGCTCAACAGGAACCAGCCTGGCAGTCTTGGGTGGGGCACAGGTGCCAGGCCCTGTATTCTGGGACACAGCCCCCAGGAGCACCTCTGGGCACCCACTCGGCCATGACTCGCTGGCAGTATGAGGTGCAGCGGCTTGACAGGCCAGCCAGGGTGGCAGAGCAGAAATGAAGGGCCCCTGCCCACACCAAGCCCAGTCATTACCCCCACCAGGGCAAGGGGCCCGCCGTCCCGTAAGCTGAGAAGCCACTCCTGCACCTGGCCCGGCTGTGGCTCTCGGGCATTCATGATGGTGCCCGCACACCTCGTCAGCACACGGGCTGTCAGGCCTTCGTGCCCACCTGTCACAGTGAGAGCTCTTGGAGCTGCTCCGTCCAGATTCATGCTGAGCGTCCAGCAGTATTTTCTCCAGGTCACCATTATAGAGAGAGACCGAGGCGGGGACGCCGCTCCCGTTCAAGCCGTGGCTGAAGTGCAGCTCGACCCAAGAGCCTGGCGGGGGAGAGAGCAGAGCTGGATGTTCCTGCCGCCCTGGAGCCCGGTCCCCATACGGAAGGCCCGCCTTCCTGGGGCATGACGGCCATGCCCCAGGCCTGCACCCCGACCCCGGCACTGTCTCGGGGCCTGTGTGACGGTGCCTGATGCGGGCGCCCAGGGCCGAGCCTCTCCCGGCCTTCCTGAGGCTGGGCTGCTGCCCACTGACCTGATGGGCCAGCAGAGCCTAACTGATCAGGGTGACATTTTGAACTCTTAGGGGATAAAGAGGGTCAACAAAAGCTTAGAGGACTGACAAATCAAATGGAGGTTTACACTCTCTCTTACCAACCTGTTTCCACATACCGGCATCATTCTGACCTGGAGGCCCCATAAAGCTCACCTGTAAAAGCTGCTCTGTATTTACTTAAATCAGAAACAGACAAATGTGCTGTGAAAGGAACAAAGGTACTTTCTGACTAAATCAGATGATGAACCGGAGCAGGTCACCCCCAAGTACTCGTTTAGCCAAGTCTTTACAGGAAGTGAGTTCAGCACTTTCTTCCTGGAACTACAAACTGACATTTGTTACACACCCCAAAGTGTGATGTGTAATGGGCTTTGTGGGTTCACCCTTGTAGCTGAGCCCTGCACTCGGCTGCCCCCACGCGGCTGCACCATCATTCGCCCCTTCTCTTAGGTGTGTGGCTTACTTCCAGGTCGGGGCAGCTACGATGGCTTCTGTGAACCTTCTCATGTTCCCTGGTGGCTGTGTGCTCGCATTCTGTCGGGCGGACATGTGGGCATGGGCTCATGGGTTTAAAGGTAACATGCATGTTCAGTGCTCCCAGAAAGGGCCTCCGCTCCCCAATGCGGCCACACTGGCATACTGTACGCAAGTGGTCTTGTCTCTACACACCTGTCACCAGTCTTTAAATTTAGCCATTCCATGCTGGTATCTTGTGTGGTTTATTCTGCATTTCTGTTTTCTAGTGAGGTGTAACAATTTTTCCTATGATCACTGCCCATTTGGACAGCATCTTTTTTTTAATTGGCCATTTAAAAATCCCCCCTTCTGTTAAGCTGTCTACTCCCCTCCTGCCTGTAGTTCAGATTCCAGGACACAAGCCTTCCCTCACTGCATGTGTTCCATGTAACTTTCACTGTGACCTGCCATTTCACTCTTAACATCTCCCAAGGAACCTAAACTCTTGATTTTATTCCAGATTTCCAACCTCTTTCTGTGAGGTCATGAAGCCTATTAGGTATGGGGCTTGCATTCTACCATATTCCTTTCCACAACCCAAGCTGTATGGATGCTCATGTCGACTTGGGTTTGATCCATGAGAGTGACAGACGGGTCACGTTCATCCACATGGATATGCAACCACCTGTCAGAAACGAGCTTGCTCAGCACACATCTGTTTCTGAGCACTCTGGTGGCACATGGAGGATGGGCACAGGAAGGAGGGTGAGGGCAGAGGGCAGAAGAGAAAATGCACATTCCAGAAAAGCCCCATGAAGGGGGCTTGCAGTCATTCTGATTTATTGCAATGTCATCAGCCCCCTGCTGTTCTCTGCTTATGGCAACACAACACTACAACCCCACGTGGTAGGGGACAGGCGCCCACTCCTCAGTCCATGCTGCCTGGAGTCCCGGCAGGCTGCCTGCCCTCCCACACACTCAGCAGGCATCTCTTCTGGCAGTCCTGGCCCCCGTCAACAGCTGCCTGCGGCCACGTATGCCTTGTTAATCAGAGAATGCACACCCGAGGCCCAGGAGTTAACACAAACTTGCAGTCACAAGCCCCTGGCTAGCTGCTAACAAAACAATCCCAAGGTTTCAAAGCACAGCTGTTCTCTGTAACCTCTCAAGTGGCTTCGTGCTGCCCAGGCCCTCATGAGCACCTCCCTGAGGCACAGGAACGCCAGTCTGTAACAGAGTCCAGGGCTCCCGGCACATGCCCAGGCCACTCCTCCGCTGCACCACCTTCGGAGCCCACCACCATTCCCGGGCCCTCGGTGTGAGTCTTCACCCGGGCTGCCAGCCGTGCTTCCAGGGGCGCTGATCCTCCTGGGCCTGACGCACCATCACAGAAGCTCTGAGAGCCCTGCCCTGGCCCTCCCTCCTTCACGGGGACTCTCGGTGCCGCTGAGCCACCAGCAAGCCAGCTCTGGCCCCGTGGCATGAGATGGGCCCAGTTCCCTTCTTCCAGGCTCCACCTATCATTCAGACTCTGGGCCTGCCTCAGTTCACTTGACCAGGCTACCCTGCCATGCCGGTCACTGTGGCATCTGGTATGAATGGAGCCTTAGGGCAGTGGGGTCTTTTTTCTGATACCTCTTTCGACATGACACGCTGAGGTAGTTTCCACACCAGTAACCCATTCAGTCAGCACTGTGGCCGTTCAACGGTTCAGACTTGATACTACCTGGAGTTGGTGTCGGGTCCCCCAAGACTTTCCCTACACAGATGTCAACTGCAAGTGGGATACCCAGCCTCCTGCCTGGCAGACTACAAGTTCAGGGGTGCCTATAACACCCCCAGGTCAGTACTCACTACAGCAGCTCACACAACTCAACACTTCACACACATTTACTGATTCATTACAGAGGGTACCTCCTACCAGTCAGCAGCAGCCAACTGGAGCCACACAGGCAGCCTGGGGAACAGGCGGAGCGTCCCTGCTTCTCCCCGGGTCACCCTCCTTCTCTGCAGCCCCTCGCTGGGCATAGACTGGGTCCCCCACCCTCAGGTCAACCCCACCTCAGGCTTCTAGGCCTCACCCTGGTCACTCGCTGGCCTGGGCTCAGGTGTGTTCCAAAGGAGCTCCTTACAAACAACTAGGCGCTATCACTTAATTCCAAGGGCTTTAGAGCTGTGTCAGAATCAGGAACAGAAACCAAACACATTTCTTCAAACTGACATATAACTGACATGTCACATTAGTTTCAGGTGTGTATGTTTTTATTATAGCACAAGGGCCAACTCAAGACTCCAAGGAGACAAGCATTTGCTTTTTAAAATGGTCTCATAAAAAGCCCTAAGCATCTTTGAGAAAGAAAAAAACGCCATTCTGGGGGGTCCAGAGCAAAAGCTTTGAGTCCACACAAAATCTTCTAAGGAATGATTTACTTAAGTACAAGAGTTTTATTACTGACCTGCAGCAACGGGGTAGGGAAAGCACACTTCCTGGAAAAGGAAGGAAAAGGTGCCATGGATCTTATCTTGCAATGATTAAGATCGCCTATCCTTTTAAGCAAGAGAGATGGAGATTAAGGTTGCTTCACAGTCTTAGAAAACTTCTCGGAGTCACAGATAACTGGTGCCTTGGTATCCAGGCCAGCGATGCCGCCGAGGCGCCCGCACACCGACTCCAAGCTCCTCTCCTTGCGCTTTCCCCACTGACTTACAACTCAAGCTAACAGCAAGTCCCCTAGATCTCTAACAAGGTGGGTGACGTGGAGTGCCCACTGCAGCTCCCGCCCCCACCGGGAGGGACCCCAGGGCATCCCCGTCCCTCTGCCCGTGTTCCCAGAGCAAAGGCTGCTGTCCCGAGGGGGCTCTTCCCTGTTCGCAGCAGGCTGGCCCACCACACATGCTGGGGTGAAACCCGGCATGCATTTTGAGAAAGCTACATAAGACAATGTTAAGCAGCCAGGGCTGAAAACTACTGGCCAGCGGAATGACAGGCATCAAACAGCCACTCCAACAATGGACAAAAGTCCCAACGGAGGGCTGGTAGAGGGGGCATAGCATCCCAGAGGTCAGGCCTAAGGCAGAGCAGCTGCTCAGCCTGGAGGAAACGGCCACCCTACTCGGGCTTCCTCCATGGGAGAGGTGGGCTTTCAGAAATTATTTTTAAAAGCTTCTCAAGTTAGATTGGGCAGAAAGAAAAGAGACTTGAGTGACACGTGACTTTGAACATGAAGTCACCAGGGTAGGTAATTCAGGTTCCTAAAAAAAGGCCAGTCAACCTTACCCTTCCTGTGCCACGCTGGGCACAGTGTCCTGCCTGTCTCAGGCTTCGTGCTCTAGGCGCCAGATACCCCCCAGGCCCTTCGCAGAGAGCCCCTTCCAGAGCCACTGACAGCGGCCTTCCTGACTTTCCACTTCTCACTGGGCCTCTGGGCCTCGTGGCGACCACGTGTGGTGGGAGGGCTGGGCTGGGACCCAGATGTCGACCCCTTCCCTCTCAGGCTGCAGCAGCCCCCAGCTTTGCTCCCTGAGACAAACTGTCTCCCTTCCTACACCTTAGCCCCTGGCGAGCTGCCTGTGCCAACAAGCCACCTGGCCTGCATCCTGCCGGGCAGCAGTGAGGGGGGCAGAGCATCGTGAGACTGGTGCTCTCAGGAGCGGCTCTGCTCGGGACGGGCCCTCCTGGGGACTGGGCCTGTGCCCAGGACACCGCGACAGCGTCCTCACAAAATCCCACCTCCTTCCCGCATTTTAGCAGTTGTGAATCTGAAGGTAAAAAAAAGCACGTACAGTATCTTACTGGGCAACAGCTCTGACCAGAGTGGGCCAGAGGACAGAAAGGCGACCACCTTGCTGTTCACTCTGGGGGAAGCCAGCTGACCCCAGGAGACGGAAGCACAGGGGGACGTGTCTGTCAATGGCTGTGGGTTTGGCTCGCCAAGGCGTTCCCAGTCCTTGGTTCTGAGGTAAACAAGACGTAATCAAATCAGACAGCACACAGGGCATGTGCTGCCCAGCCAGGAGCCCATGCCCGGCTCCGCATTCCTCAGGGCAGCTGTGCGGCCTCACGTGACTCCAGTGACCCCTCCCACTCTCCCGCTGGGCAGTGAGCAAGTGCCCCGCGGCACGTACACTCAGGAGAAGCGCCCAAAGGGCCCTTAATGTGAGTTTCCACTCAGTGTGTGACATCTTTTTATAGAATAAGCAAAATAGAAAGACAAGTCTTTAAATTCACGAGCTGGTCGGTGACTCGGCAGTTTGGTGCCAGTCAGGAGCGGCCGCCTGAGCCTCTGCAGGACTCAGAGCCTGAACCGGCGGGCGCGGCGCTGGAGGTCGGGCAGCCCCGACAGTCAGGAGAGGGAGATTGACGGCGGCGCGCGGGGCGCCCTTGGGGTCTTTGAGAAGATTTACTTACTCTTTCAAAGGGTCCATGTTGAAGTTTAAGGGGAAATTAAAGGATTTTAAAAATCCGGTTGTAGTTATTAAATGTTATATGATACACTGGACTACATCTTGCCTGGTAAAATCTTGATTTAAGGAATAAGAAAAATAATTAGCAGCTCACTAGATTTACCTGAATACTAAGAATTTTTTGAATCCTAAACTCAAACACCCACCCTCAGATGTTCAGACGGTCCTGTCCCAAGCTTACGTACAGGCGCATTTTGCTGAACTCTGGCTTCGGAAAATACAAGGCTCAAGGGCCACCTGGGCCCCCTTCCAACTCCCAGGGCCAGAGCGGCCAGGCCCGGGCGGTGGCTCTCCTGGGGCAAGTGCCAGGGGGGCAGGTCCCGAGGCGTCACCGGCGGGCTGTGCGGCGGGGCCGCCGGGCCGTCTGCAGGGGCCGCCGGATGGACAGGGTCCCGCCACCTTTTTAACCCGCACATCCATTCTGAACTGTTTGGAACCGACCCTTAGGGTCAAGTGGCACATGGACTGAAAAGACAAATCACATGCCGACACCACTTTTCAGGCTGTCCAAGTCCCACTCTTTAAAGAGCAGCCGCGGACTTGTGCCCTGCACCGCCCGTGCCACCTTCGCCTTCGCTGCCCCCCTGAGGAGGTCCTAGGAGCCGCCACCCACGCGACTGCATCGACGACCTCAGACTGAAGCCCACACAGCTCAGCCCACGACACGCTAGGCCCCTGCTCGCTAAAGCCAACACGGGTCGGGGCTACGAACCACCGAAAACAACGTGGCCCGAAGAAGGGACTGGGACCCGGGCACGTGTGCCTTCCTGGGGGGAACGTCCAGGCTCGTCGGGGTCCTGGCCAAGCCCGCGGCTGCTCCCACAGACCCCGGGCGGACAGCCGTCCCGGGGGGCCCCGGCCTCACCCGCCCAGGCCCTGCCCGTCCTGGCTTCCCCCGGCACCCTCCCCCTGCCCGGCCGCCCGGAGGCCCCGGCACCCGCCCCGCCGGCCCACGTCCCCCGCTCTCCGCGCGGCCTCACCCTGCAGGTTCTCCTCCTGCAGCCCGGGGGTCCCGCTCCGCGACATGGCGCCGGAGGGAAGGCGCTGCGGCCGACGGGCCGGAGCGCGGGTCGGGGTCGGGGAGGACGCGGGCGCGCCGAGGGGACGCACGGCCTCCTGAGCACCTGCGCGGGCCCAGCACCCGCGGCGGCGACAGCCCAGGGCCCCGACTGACTGACGCGCCCCGGCGCACGCCGGGCAGATAAGCGGCGGCGTCGCCCATTGGCCGCGGGGCCTGCGCGTAAGCGGGACACGGGGTGCGTGCGGCGCGTGCGGCGCGTGCGCGGGGCGGGAGGAGCCCTCCTCTCTGAGGAGCGGGGCGCGCGTGCGCGGGGCGGGTAGCTCCGGAGAGGGGCGCGCGAGCGCGGGGTGAGGCGCGCGGAGGGGGCGCGCGAGCGCGGGGTGAGGCGCGCGGAGGGGGCGCGCGAGCGCGGGCCCTGCGGGCGGCTGAGGTTGAAACGCCGGGCGGGATCGCGCGTGCATGGGGCGGGCGCTGTCCGAGAGCCCAGGACTCCCGCTGCCCAGCGCCGGCCAGGCCCCCAGGGCGGGGTGGCCGAGCCCTCACCCTCAGTGACCAGACGAATTCAGGCCCCCTACCTGCGGTGACTAGCGTGGGGGTTCCGGGGTGGGGGTCCTGCTGCAAGTCGGACCTGCAGGACGGCAGACCACTGACTCCAGCTCCTGGCCCAGGAAGCCACACGACGTCCCTGTGACCCTCAGCCCCGAATGGCCAGGACTTGGCCAATGACTGACAGCTCCCCAATTTCCGTCCCTGCTTCCAGCTGCGGAGCAGGCAGAGAACGCCAAGCACTCCCGACCCATTGCCCACTGCAGCCCCCAGTGCCGCTAAGCCCCTTTCCCTGCTGGCCCTTGGCTCCCTGCCAAACCCAGGTGATAGTGGACGGCCTGTGGCTCCTGCAGGGTGCAGAGCTGCCGCCCTGCTTCAGTTCGGGGTGACCCTCGGTTCTCGTTCATTGAGCATTTAGGGACTCCTGGCCCTGCCCGGCAGGGAACAAGCAGAAACGGCTTCCCGCAGACGCTGCAGAGACCCCGGGGCGGGGCCCCAGCACGCCTCTCTCCAGCGCCTGTCCCAGGCCTTGGCCCCTGGGTGGGAGGGGGGTCTTTCCGGAGCAAGCTGCCAGGGTCCCGTCTTCCGTCTCCTTGTGTACGAAGGCATCAGGCAAGGAAGAGAAAAGGGCTACGTTTATTTACGGAAGATCTGAGATGCTAAAGAAAAGGACGTCATACGTGTCCTGGTGCCAAAGAGAATCTCCCATTTTATATCCTGGAGTGACAGGTCACCTTATCAATAACTGACTGTCCTTCTGGGGAGGCTGAAGCGGCAATTGGGTCCGGCATTAAGCCTTGTCTGGTGACTTGGCCTCGCCAAAGCAACCGCATGTTGGGCCTGTGGGTTTCTTTTGAACAACCCACGAACAATGCATTTCTCCATTATTTGGGTGTCCTCCAGTTTCTCACAGCTACATTCAGTAGTTTTCAGTGTACAGGGCTTGCACATCTTTTGCCAGATGTACCCCTAAATTTCATATTTGTAATGTTGTAATTACTATTTTAAATGTCATCTATTTCTTGCTAGTATATAGAAATACAACTGAATTGTGTGTATTGTCACATCCTGCCGCCTGCTAAGACTACCAAAACTTATAAATTGTATAAGCCTTCTAAAGGCTCTATAGGCAGTTACCTGGAAATGTTTAAATGAAACTGTTTCTTCCTGAAGCATGGATTTCCCTCCCCATGTGGAGCCCTCTGGAACTCCCAGCAAGGTCCACCCCTTGGAGGACCCCATGCAAGGGAGAGGCTGAGGCCTCACTGGTCGGGGGCAGCCTGCCCAGGGGCATCCCCAGGAGCCACAAGTGGGATCTGGGAAAGAGCATTTGGGGACTGAAGGTCTGCTCCTCCTGGCCTGACACCTCCCTTCCCTGCCTGAGAAAATAGTGCTGGTTTTCAGGCTTTGATCATCAAGCTTTTGTGCTCCCGTACCCCCTGGCAGTCTTAAAAAACTCGTCCACACTTCAGTATACATCTAAGTTTGGCACTGGAAATGTGAAAATTGCAAAAGACATTATTTCTGATATCCTGTAATTATTGTCATTTTAATCAAAGTTTTCCTAACACTTTTAAATGTATATAAGGCTGCTAAGTACCAAATCAATTTGATATCATCATCATTCAATTAAACATTAATCATTCATTGTCCTTCCTTAACAGGGAAGTTTGCATGCTTCATTTTTCCTTTTGAACCTGTATTTCACTTTCTCCTTATATATTTATCATAATATCTTATTTTGGAAAGTCTCTCGACCACCCTATCACATCTGTCTCATAGCTATGGATGTATATTTACATGTAATAAAAATATTTCTTGGGACACTAAGGCTCTTTCAGCATTTCTTTTTGATTGGGGTATCATTCTGATCAGCATTTCACAATTCAGCAAAACAACAAACATCCCCCACTCCGTTATGTGTTATTAAGAAGGAGACAAGGTACAGCATCTATTTATAGACACTGAGGAGCGGTGTGCACATCAGCAGCTGAGAAGGAGGGCGCTGAGTGCTCCCGGGTGTGCTGATGCTCTGACAGTTCTCTGAGCCACACGAGCTGCCTGAAATCACACACTTTTCCACCCAAACCCTGTGCCGGCAGCCAGCTGACAGCCAGGGCTTTCCTCAGGTCTGTTCAAGCTGAAGAGTCCTAACCGCTCTGACTTGCTGAAGGACGCACCTGTTCCTACAGTCGCTCACGTTCTCAACAAAACCATCTCCTTTCCCCAGCTATGCTTCACAGGTTCTGGGGAGTCATCTCACAGGGCGATGCCCACGGGGTGGTGGTCTGCTGAGTGGGCAGAGATGATCCAGGAAAGGAGAAGGGAAGCCCTGCCTGGTGCGGGCAGATCTGGTTTAGGAAAGACATTGATTTCCCTAAAACTGTCCTAGCCTCTCCCTGCCTTGAAAAGCCTAGGGGCACCCAGTTGCACCCCCCATTCGAGACCACCGTGTGGGGAAACTGGAGGTGGAGAGGCAGGTGGAGGAGGAGAGCATGGGAGGCCACTGGCCTCCTGAGGGTGCCAGTGAGGCTGGGGAGGGGTGATGGGAGGTGCCGACCCACTGTGCTCCCCAGGACAGCCGACACCGAGATGCCGTGTAAAGTTAAACAAGAAAGAGACCCTTAGGTATACATCTGTAAAGTAAATAAATAGAAAAATGTTCAGTTGGAATATCGAGCTAAGGCTGGATAGGGGATGAGCTTCCCCTTCATGTTTTGCATGAGGGAGTCAGTACATCAAGCGGTTCACTTCTGTCTTTATAGAGTTGTGGGGGTCACTCCCTGAAGAACCAAACATAGAAAATGGCGAAGTAGGCAGGAGATAAGAGAGCTTCACTTTCCATTTCATGACCCGTGCTTGCATTTTTAAATCTGTGCATAAATCACTTTGATTTTAAAAATTACATTAAGTCCTAATGATGCGGGAATTTCAAGGACGGGGGAGACGACTGCCAGGGCCTACACAGCAGAGCTGGAGCCAGCTGAGCGACAAGCCGCGATCACAGCCCAGAGAACAAGATGAATTTCCACAAGTTCATACCAACACTGATACATGACCGAACAGTAAATAAATGAGGTTAAAGAGACAAACTTGCCATACAGAAAAATCCCAGATAAGTGGCTACTGCACCCCCAGGAGGGGAGCCCATCTGTGCTTCAGGTGGGCTGCGCCGGGTGGGCTGCGCCTGGTGACCTCGCTCCCAGAACAACCTGACAGCACAGACCCAGACACACGCCCGCCCAGGGGTCAAGGTCAGGACACCAGGGACAAGGTGAGCAGGCCGCGGACACTGCCATGACGCGAGGAGACAGCTTCTCATCTCCGCTCTCCTCCTAAACCCGTAACCCCCATCTATGCAGAGAAAAGGGTCATCAAATCCCAGTGGGGACGTTCTCTTGAATGCCTGCTCTGAGCCCTGCAAACTCTCAGGTCACCAAAAGCCAGGGGGTCCAGAAACTGTCACAGCCCAGGGGGGCCTGAGGGACACGAGACCAAAAGCCTGGGGATGCTGGGGCCCAGGACAACAGGGGCACGGTGGGGAAGTCTGAATAAAAGAGGGACTCTACTCCCCACGTCATTAATACTAGCTCACTAATTGTAGCAAACGTACCCACTAACGTAAGGCGGCTGTGATGGGAAGCGGCCCACCCGGCTGCTGTGAGCTCCCTGCACCACTTCACCATTTGTCTGCAGCTCTAAAACGGTTCTAAAAATAAAACTTATGAAAATCACATACTAGATGCTACTCCTATGAAAATGTGTAGCATTATGTACATTATTAGAGGTGTAAAATAAATGAACTAGGTACTTAAATGGAAAACGTAGATAAACTCTTAAATGAAAGAAATACATTTATAACATTTTTATAAAAGTCATAAAAAATAAAGGAAAATGGATGAGCTAGAAAATAATCTCCAATAAATTCAAATTTCCTTTTTAGTGATAAATGACCTTTTGAACAATAAATGGGGACATTATTACACGTTCAGAGGGCATTTCAAAGCATGGCAGCAGCTTCACATACCCATTCATATGAGCAGAAACTGGCTCCTGGGGGAAAAGGAAAAATGCAGGTCATTTGACCCCTCGTGATGGGCAAGACTAGACGGGGCAGTCACCCTGGGACTCGGCCTGGCAGCAGCCCGATGCACAAACAGGGCCTCAGAAGACAGACACTTGGCAGGCTCCCAAGGGCGCCAGCTGGAAGCCAGCCACCCTGCTGACCTGTCCTGCCTCCCTCCATCTTCCAGGGCAGCATGAGCACCCCACAGTCCGCAGTAGAGTCTGTGCCCCGTCAGGGCTATTTTAGGAGTCGGTGACGGAACACTGGGGGTTGTAAACAGCGGGCTTCGCCGTGTGTCTGCAGCCTGCGCTGGTCCCACGTCCCTGGTGCTGAAAGGACAGGATCTTTCCAAAGGAAATGGTGTTCTTGGATAAGAGCCTGGCCTGAAAGTGTTCAAAACAGGAAGGGGCTGCCAGGGAGAGGGTGGCCTGCCCGCGCTGGGCTGCAGGCCCAGAGGCTGCATGTCCCTGGACAGTGAGCCATAGCCAGGCAGGGAGGCTGCAGAAAGCACCGCATGTAAAAACACACAGAGGGCAGAGGACCCAACTCAGCAAGCACCGCCCAGAGGCCCCATCAGGAGGCAGCCCTGGGGGAGGCCAGGGGGAGCCCACACATGGCCGAGCAGGACAGCTGCCCCCTGCTGAGGCACGTCGGGGCCTTTGGGGAGAGGGTGAGGGGGGACTCCATGTGGCTCCCAGCCCCTGGCTTCCCTTGGCCGAGCTCAGGCCACAGATGAACAAGCAACAACCAGCCCTGAATGGAGGCAGAGGGCTGCAGTGGGTTTGCCCTTGGCAGTGGTGGGCAGGGAGGACTTCCCCTGAGAGGCGTCCTCATTTCAGAAGGAGACTGCTATTCAGAGGTCCA